CAAAAAAAAAAAAAAAAAAAAAAAAAAAAAAAAAAAAAAACGAGCCCTTGCAGCCTCGTAAGGCGCACATGCACCTACCGGGGGAATTCATCGAGTGAAATCGATGGGGAGCTGTCGGGGCGTGCGAGTAGCCAGGCACTTGATGTGGCTCGCGAGGTCTGCTGGACAGAATCGTCCCTTTTCGGCTGGTGCCCTCGACGAGGACACGCCGCCTGCAGCCGGTATTGGTTGGGACGGACCGGGGGGGGGTGTCTTTTCTTTTTGGAGCTGGTCAGGCTGGTGTGGGACAAGACAAGATTGGAAGGAGGGGGACGGATGGACACGGATTTGCAGCTTGGGTACCGAGTACGGAGGATTGTGGGTGTTATATTTTTATTTACAAAGACGTGATGGACTTTATTAGTGATGCCCTTTGTTGTTTTATACTGCGATTGGGAATTGGGGACTTGCACGTCGAGGTCAATTCGTCGTTTTGATGGAATTGGCGTGGCGTACTCGGCACAGCGGAATGGATAATCCCCAGTTGCAGCATCCATCATCCATACGCAATGGCTCCTCGCGGCGGGGGACGAGGTGACAGCTCTGAGAAGATTGAACAGCAGCAGCCTCGATCAAAACGACGTTCAAGGTCCTCACGACGCTCGCTTGCTGCCGCGCCGTGGACGCCGGAGCCTCATTTCACATTCTTCCGTGTATGGCTTTGTTCCAGCTTCGAAACAAGTCGGGCGTTGCACACATATCCAGCCAAGCCCCTGCGCCCGGGGACCATTTTTCATTGGGCGAGGCGAGCAGCGTGGCCGCCGCCAGCGGTCGCGTTTATGCGAGACTAGGCTGAAGATTTTTTTTATTTTTTTTTTCCCCATGACCCCAGGCGCTTGCTTCGCCGTCAGGTGACGGGCGAGGATTGATAAATGCAAGCCTAAAAAGGTGAAATAAAGGAGCCCGACTTGTTGCCGGCGAGCGAAAGCAGAGCCTCGCAGCGGGTCGTCGACAATGGCATCATCTCGGATATCAATCACCCTGCCGAGGTGGTTCCCAAGGGATATATCATATACTTACCCAGTGCTTAATATAGATGTAGCGAGCACGGAGTACCCTGGGAACGCCCAGGTCCCATTCCAGTCTCTATTTACGGCACGGACATCTGTACCAAAGTCCAGTCCTCGGCCAGAGCGCAACGGGTTCCTGGCGCCATGCAGCCCGCCGCGCCGTGACCAGGAATATCCTAATTTGCCGCAGTACATTCCGCAGTGCTCCGTACGCGACGCCATCGGGATGTCGGGATGTCGGGATGTAGTGAAGTGGAAGAACGGCAACTCTACTTTTCCAACTCGAGTCTGTCGTGTTTGTGCACCGTGTCGACATCACACTCCGAGTCCGCGTTTCTTTTTTTCAATCCTCTTCCACGATCCCTTTATGCCTTGCCAACACATGGGGGTCCCCTTCTTTTCTGTTTCGGTTCTTGGTGAGAGCAATTTTACCTTGCCCCAATTCCCTTTGTGTCCTTTGTTCGTCAATGGCAGCGCGACCACTGGCCGAGACCGTACTAGCGGCATCCACAAAACAGGAAGAGAATCACACTAAAAAAAAAAAAAAAAAAGGAAAAAAAAGAATCTCGATCGCCCTCGAGGAGACTGGGAATGCATGCATGCACGCACGCACGGGCGCATGGAAAGACCGCCAAGAACATGGAGCAAAACTAAAACTTAGTGGGGCCCTGGGCTTTTTTTTGGATTTTTTTTTTGTCACGCTTACACTTTTGGTGTATATCAGCTCACTGGTGCCATTGGAGCCCAAGGGTTCGATGGAATGTCCTTTTTCCATCATCTATTTTTAGGTCACGATGACCTTGGGGTCTGGCGCTGCTCGGGATATGTCCTCGAAATCACGACTCATGGCTTGACTCGAGTACGGAGCACGCGAAGGGATGGTGTGCGGTCTGGACGATGATCTGTACTGCGAATGCGTAGCTGTATTGGATCGTGGAGGTTTGTGTTGCCCGCGAGGTTTTTTCCCCTCGTACGCGTTCGCTAATAGGTGTATTAGTATGACCTGTGCAAAAGCAATCGTGTGTGCGTGCGTGCGTGTATGTGTGAAAGCGTATCAACATGTGTTCTCGTGTGCCTCGGGTGTCAAGCACGCAACCCTGTCTGGGGAGTAGGTCCCCTTTCCTTTCTCCATATGCCGGCCTGATTCGGATGATATTGTATTCGTGAACAAACCTCCCCGGGGGGTGAATGGCACATCCGGAGACCGAATCCATGGCAAACTGCACGTGAGGGTAGCCCGGAAAGAGTATGGCCGTCAAGGAGCTGTAAAATCTTCAATAGTCCGGTTCCACTGACAAGTCGTGTCAAGTGCTTGGATTCTATGCAGACCGCCTCGGATGCCCTGCGCTCCATGGTAGACGTATTCATGGAGACGACAGCAACTGCTGCCGATCCGAACAGGTAGTTACCCAGTGACCAGAAACGGCAGCCCGATCCAAGCGCCATCCATGTCCATGCCTGGCCGAAACGATGCCGCGAGAAGAGGCCCTGCAACGATCGACCCCATCGTCTCAAAGACGCTCATTGTAGTGTACATCATGTTGACATGGCGCTTGTCAACAATTGACGCCAGCAAGCTCCGGAGTAGAGGGGGTTACCCATTGCCTAAAGCGAACAGGGCCAGGCCGACAGCCATCACACTGACTGGTCCCGAGAAGCCGATGGTGAATGCCCCCCAGGGCGGACATGGATACGCTTATGCGTGCCAGCCAGAGGGTTCTGCTCTGGGTAGCGAGTGCGGTTTTGCGGGCAAGAGCTTGGCATCAACAGAAGAATGACCGTGAGGAGCGTCAAGAGTCAAAAACGCGTGGAACGATAGCATAAGCCCGGCCTGCCGTGGATTTCAACAAGTTGGGGGGGGCAAAGCTTGCCACGTATACAAGTGGTTCACCATGATACTAACCTCGGACCATGACCACTCGTATCGTTTTGTAATGTATCGGAGAGTAATCTCCTGACCTGAACGACCAAGGCTCGTGATGAGAAAGGTAAAAAGAAGCACAACCACCAGGATTTCGCTAATCTCATCGGCTGCTCGCGAGCCGTCTGCGACTGGATCCTGTCAGGCTCTTTGGTTCCGGCATCTTCCAGGCGTTGGCTGTTGGCTGGTATTCTGAACGCCACGGCAGTTGCTAGCCAAATACATCCCAGGCCGCAGTATATGGGGAGCCAGAAGCTGACGTCGATGAGAAAGTACACCACGGGACTGGCGATCAGTTGACTGCCGGGAACTGTGGCGGCAATGTAAAAGCGCCTTCGAGAACCTGGTTGAGTGGTATGGCGAAGAGGTAGAGGCCAAACTCCAATAGTATATTGAGCGCAAAGCAGACGACGACCATGCCCGGGGGACGGAACTCGGGCGTCTTGGTGCGAGAAAGTTGAACGCAGTCGTCGCCAGGAGATGCCGTCCTCATCAGAGGTTGCTGCTCATTGTCGGTCATGTCAGTTCACCAAACCGTATCAATCGTTTGCTATTGATGCCTAGGACCCGGACGGGAAACAGGGTGACAAAACCCCGGCTGGCAGATGACCACGGCCATCGACCTGTCCTTCAGACGTACCATGCGGGCTGCTGTTTCTGGAACACCAGTTGATTGAATCTAGAACCCGGTGTGCGCTTCACGGCGACCACATGCATGCGGCGTACGCCAGACGAATGGGCATCGTGGCGGTGTGATTCCTCGGGAAACCAGGCGCCTTTCCACAGATACTTGGCAGGAATGCTCTAATACGTGTAGCAAAGCTTACCTCCCTCTGTGCTCATCACCTCGCCGACGGCCACGTCGTTTGTGAACCGGTCGTACATCAGCACATCACTCCGACTTGCCGGGCCCGTGGAGTTATACATGTGCTTCCCAGAGTATTCGAGTAATCTGACGCTGGGGTTCTCTCGCTGCCACCGCCACCACAGACGATCCAAGTTTGCATGATGCAGGAAAAAGAGAGGGTCTTGTTGTCTCGGTTACTGTGATGAGAAACAAAGAAAGAATGGAGAAACAGGGTCGGAAGGGACTCACCGTTGGCGGCAGTCATGGCCTTGAAATCGCCATTAATGGAGGTATGAAGCGTGTTATGCAAGTCCCTTTCAACCCGTTGCAGGAACTCTGTGTAACTCTGCAGTCGAAGGATGCTCCCGATGTTTTCGGGGCTGAACTTCCTCCCGGGGAGGCGACCTTCGAGGTTGCCATGGCGGAAGCCGCGTGATAGACAGTGTACATTGCGCGTGTGGTTGTAAATAACTGGTCGCAAATCTGCGAATGGCCCGTCTATCACGCACCGGCCCTCGCCGACCGTCTCTGGGCCGTTTGGGTCACCGTCACCGCCGAAGCCAGTATCACTAGCCCATATAGACGAGTTGGCGAGATCCATCCAGTCGAGAGACCAGTCCCAGTATCTGGCCCAAGATGAGCTTTCGTGCCGTCACGTGCAGGGGAATAGGGAGCGACCAACGGGGAACAACGCACGGCATCAGACCACGGTAATCGCAACGGTCTTTGAATATGGCCTCAATGGCTGATAACACGTTTCTGTGCCAGGGCAAAAAACAAGCCGATCGGTGGCCTGTACTGGAATCAGTCGGCTTGTGCGTTGAGTCGCCGTGGTCCCCATGGCGGGCACTTCAGAGCTCTCAGAAACAGGAGGCAGAACTCACACCAGGACCCGATCCCTCCGTGTAGGACGGCGATATCATCGTATATTGTCAGATTTGAGGTTCGAAAAGAAGTTTCCTTGCTCAAGCATTTAATGGCGCGGATAAAGTCATGTTGCTCTGTCCGGTTGAGGGCTCTCCATTCCCGACGGATGGGAGGATTTTTGCAGATGGTCTGCTTGGCTGGGAGCTCTTCAATCCGGGCCAATACGAGCCATGTGATGGAGCAAAGGGATAGTACGGCTGAGAAGCACAAGAAAAACGGTCCCAAACGAGCCCAGAATCTAGAACACAATGTTAGGACTGTGTGAACCATGACCTGCAGGGCTAAAGTGAGACTGTCTTTTCGCTTGACGAACCTCGTTTTTGAAGGGACTTTGTTGTTTTGGCTTCCAGAGTCTGATGCACCAAGAGAAGTATACCCTGGCTCCGACCACGACCCTAATGGTAGACTCATGGTTTTGCTTCTAGCCGTTCCGTAAAGCGCCTGGTCTATCTACTTGTTCGCGGACTCTGCTACATGTTGTACGTGTGTTCTTGATTTACTAGACTCGGGACTGGACTCGTTCGACATCCCGATATCTGCTCCGCAGCAGGGCTAGGCGCTCGTTGGCGCCTCAGGTCATGGGGTTGACACAATCCTGCCGCTTCGGGACGAAAGGCGCCAGATCTCTGCGGGCTCTCATAGCCCATCTTGAGAGGGTGGCGGGAGTGCTCTGCTTGGTTGGTTTCCTTCCGCGCCTAACAACAGATGCAGTTTATTCTCGCGGTTCATCCCCCGTACTGGTCCTTTTTATTTGGGGCGAGACAAAACTGACGTCCAAGACTTCGCATCCACGCAAGTCGTTCAGAAACAGCCGTGGCGCTTGCAGTCGCAGGATGCATCCATGTAGTATGTACTTCTCGGCTGTGGCCTTGAGGAGAGGGCAGTCGGCCAGCTCGTACAGGAATCGGAGCGGTGTCGAGTTGTCTCGTCAGCAAAGTACTCCCCAAAAAAGCATTCCTTGAGGCATCGGTCCCCGTACCGAGATGATGCTACGAGGAGTACTGAGTGGTTACACAGCCGCAATAAACAGTGAAACGTCGCCGTAATTACTGATGGGATCAGTTGCGGTAGAGCCGAGGTTGACATGGAAGACAGCGGATTTACTAGATATCGCAGACGGGCTCGCACAGTCTATGGCATGATACGCTTGCGCACTGACAAGTATAGCTACGCTGGTGGTAGCGAGGCGGCTGTAGGGTCAACATGTTCCCATACCTGCGCTGATTGAAGTCCTTGTGCTCCCACACTGTAACGCCGCGGCCTCTTGCTCCAGATTTGTCTTGCCAGTCTCCACTTTTACCCGCTTTCACTTATACTAACTAAGTTAATTGGGCCCCAGCTTCAACGCAAAGGATCTTGATCGTGATCCGTCACCATCTCGGAGATAAAAGAACATCAAAACATCAACTGGACCCGAGTGCCAAATGCCCGGGTTCGCCATCTCAGAATCATGCTGATGCTCCACCGCAAAACGGAGGCTCGGTCTCATTCGCAGGCGCCCATCCATTGCCTCAGGCGCGCCGAAAACGCTCGTCATCGTCATGCATAGGCGCAGCACCACGTCGGGCGCCTAATCATGAAGCCCTGTTGATCTGGCGGCATACTCATGCGGCATATATGTCCACCTTGACGTATGCTCACCATGTTCGATCGACGCCATGACATTATTGCCGCCTTTTTATTTTTCGCCCTTGCCAGGTCGTCTACGGCAGCCATGGACAAGTACAGCGACCAACGCAGCTCTACTGCCAACGATTCCGACGTCCATCCCGTCTCGTTGGAGAAGGAAGGCCTCTTGGACGAGAATTCGTTGCGTGCGTCCGAATCACCAAAGATGCCGTCCTGCACGCGCGTGTACCTTGCCCTGGCTGCCGTCTTGGCCGTTGCGAATTTGATTCTTGGTGCGCTCCTCGTCGTTCAGTTCCGGAGTAGCCAGGCCAAGGCAACGCCGCATTCTCATCGCCACCACGACAACGCGAAAAGGCCTACTCCTCCGCCGATTCCGCTTGGGGGTCTGCCGCAGGTGAATTCGCACCCAGACTGGCTGCCCCCTGAAGAGTGGCGCACAGAGGTCTTTCGCCTTCACGAGATTTACGGAGAAGAGCCAGTCGGCACGGCAAAGGAGGCGTGGCTGTCGCTGATTCCAAGTAAGCCGTGACCTCGTCCGAGAGCAGTTTTTGTCGCGCCCCCCCTTTTTTTCCCGGCAATGATCCCACCAAACATGACGCTCACGAGGTCCGCTGTACAGAGGGCAAGGGATTCATCGTTGTGAAAAACGACACCGAACTGCCCAGCATGCCGGGTCTCCGCCACCCCGAGCACGAACAACACGCCTGCGTGGCAATATTTCACCAACTGCACTGCCTGGTACGTGGCCCTCGACCGGATAGATCCCTGCTCACTCCCGCCCGTCTCCAAGGAAGCCATCGTCGAGGTCCTGGGGCTGACACGCACCCCCAGTACATCACCTACGCGGCGTACTGGAACGCCCGCGCCGGCAACTTTGACGACATCCCGCCGGAGCACCTCATCCACTGCTGGGACTATCTGAGACAGAGCATAATGTGCGCCGGCGACACTTCCCTGGAGTGGGTGCACAGGCTGGACAAGCCCCCGGGCCAGACGTCGGGATGGGGCTACCAGCACACCTGCAAGAACTTTGACGCCATCTTTGACTGGACCGAGTCGCACAGATACACTGAAAAGATTGAGATTGATTAATCCCCGTTTCCGGGCCAAGGCGAATGGCGGCGTGGCTGGCGGCTGGTTCCGAAACATGTGCCAAGTGCAGACCACACAAAGCCGCTCAGAAGAAAGCCCCGCGTTGCATTTTCGGCTGGCGTCATTCTCGGGGCCTCTCAAGCGCAGCAACCTATTTGCCCGAGCCTCAAGTCGAGTGAAGTCAACTGCTGACGTCCCTCTCCCGAAGAAGAAGAGTAGAAATCTTGCGAATCGCTCTCGCGACCATTGTTTGCAAACTGAGAGCTCGGCCCACCACTCTCCCGTACGCTAGCTCTGACATCTATACCTGAAAGGCATGTTTTGTATATAATCTATTCTCTCTCGTCTGCTTTCGCCGAAGAGCCCTCCATGTCCAGAAAGTGCGGCATGTCTTGGACATGAGTGAACAAGATAGACTCGCTGCTGAAGCGAAACGCTGTCCAAGGCCGACTCCGTCCAAGGAGACTGTTGATTGAAGGTTCATTCCTCCTCGTGACCCGACGATCAAACACTGGGCGGGGAAGAGCAAGCGTGGTCGTGTGGACACGGATACAGGGGGCACGAGTAAAATCCTGTTCTATATTGCAACTGAGTAGATGTGGTTTCGGGACGCAAAGGCATCTAGTCATGGTAAACGTATGTCGTCGACCGAGCCAGTCCCTCGGAAACGCCCGTAGCGGGATTCATGGTCGTCGTGCTCTGGTCCTACTCGGCGCCGATGAAGTAGTCCTCGACAGTCTTGTCACGCTTCTCAGCCCCAATGAAGTAATCCTCGACAGTCTTGTCACGCTTCTCAGCCCCAATGAAGTAATCCTCAACAGTCTTCCCCTAAAAACAGTCATTAGAGCCAGCCTCACTCCCGCCCGTCGATTCAACTTGCCGGAGTCGGCGCGGCGGCAGCGCCAACAGCGAGGGCCGCCACAGCAACAGCCGCGTAGAACTTCATGGCGAAGGGTGTGATGCGTGTCTTCAGGCGAATTCTCGACTCAGCAGGGACGAGATGCACTGCCGGGGGAGAGACGACGTGTTGCGCGCCGCGGCCGCGCGTCGTCGTAGACTTATAGTCCCCGAGGCTCGGGCCCTTGGCGTTCAAGCACGGCTCGGCACGGCTCGGCTCGGCTGGTGGCGCGCCGTCGTAGACTCGTGCCTGGTGCCTGGCGCCCGTCGAGACGAGACGGGCACCTCGGCCGCCGGGGAGAGAGCGCGCGCAAAGCAGTGTCATTGGAGACGCCTCGGGGCCTCCGGTGCGCAGGGGAGGGGAGAGGACCCGGCCGCGCGCGAGGCGCCTCGCAGCCCTTTTCGGCCCGGGGCGCCCCGGCTTGCGCGCCTGGCGCTCTTCTCTCGTCCGGGGGGGAGGTCTCGGGTGTCCCGTCATCGGTCGTGCTCGGGTTTGCTCGCGTTCGCGGCAGGTTGGGCAGACGTCGGTTGTAACTAACTTGTCGCCAGGACAGGGGTGAGGTGAGCAGGCATCGACGGAGTGCATCGGATGTCGGATGATGATGCGCATCAACCACGTGCAAAAAAGAACACGTCAACTACGTACACGCAATTGTCATTCGGTTCTACAGAGTACGGGTTACATTCGGAAGCGTGCTGGCTTGGATGGGGCACCGTCCCGTGCGTCTATTTCGCTGCTCGGCTGCCGCCCTTTGTTCCTTGCTTGACAAGCTTCCCTCGTCGCACAATCTAACGTTACACAAACAAGATGTTCAGATTGGCTCTCTTGTGAACCTCCCTCCAATCGCAAGCGACGCCGCCATGGCCGGAGCCGTGCTTATCCGTCTCCTTCCAACACTCCTCTACCCCGTGGCTGAACTCGCGCAGACTGCCCGTGTCGACGTCGAGGTGTGACGTTCGCGCAGCCACGTTGCGAAACACGTCTCGCTGGGAGCCCGTTGCGAGACTCGCACTGGTGCTGTAAGCCCACGCCAAGTACTTTGGGTTTATCGTTGCGGGGAGCATGCCCCATGCTTTCATTGCACGGCTGATGCTCTGATGGATCTCGGGAACCCCTGTCAGGGCTCCGGACACGACAGTGTTGAGGAAGATCAGAATAGCATGGCCGTATACAAGCGTCTGGATAAGGTCTTGGGGAACCGTGCCGCCTCCGGGCCCTTCTGGGGCGTCGGGCGGGCTCATGTTGGATATCCTTGCCATTTCTCGATCCACGGCCCCTTCGATTGTGTCTGCCTGGCTTACCAGTTCCCGAATACTAAGATTCCCTCGGGCCACTTGCTCGCTCTTTTGAATTTCCAGCAACGTGACGTTCATGATGGCAATCATGACCCATGCCTCGCAGCCGTTGATGGCTTTAAACGCCGAGGCGAATCCATCATCCGTCAGGAGCCTTCGGTGAATGCCGGCCGCGCAGGGCCGCTTCTTTTCCACGGCACTACATAGTATGTCGTTCCACATGAATGTGGAGACAAAAAGGACCTCGGCTTCCAGTTGCATTGGGGACGGCTGTGAGATGGGCACAGAGAGCGTCGGCTCAGGGCGCAAAGGCAATTCTGCGGGTGTGGTGTATTGAGCAGGCGACGTTGACTTTTCCGTCTGCCCCGGATCGCATGCCAGGCCCACGTGAAACAAACATGGCTGCTCAACAATGACTTTGGTCACGCGCTCAAGGAACCATTTGCAGCTCTGCATGTTCCTGCCCAGTGCCTAACAGACTCGTGTTAGCAGCCGTTTATGGCGTGAACTGGCGATCGAACATTCTGTATCCCACCTCCAAGCGAGCGATGTGGACGCCGCATATGATGACCTCGCTGCGAACCGGAGATGTGGTCGGTTCCAGTCTCTCGAAACTCTGAAGGGCTAGTTCTCGATGCCTCTGGTAGTTTCTCAGGGCCGCTTCTCGGGCATCCGTTTCACACGACTTGCTCAGAAACAGGTGGTATGCGCTCATGCTCAGACACGTGTTGTAAAACGTGGGGGAGCGAAACATCAGGCTCAGCAACCAACTTTTCTGCGTCACCGAGGGCGCCTTGTGCAATGAATACTGCCGCACAAAGCTGTTCTCCATGAAATTCACGAGCAAGTAGATGTCGCTCTCGGACGTGTCGATGCCCGGGTGGCTTGGTTTCGTCAGCGGCAGGAAGCCGACCAGCCCCGTGTCCAGCTTTTCGATAGACACGGGAGACAGAGGGGTCGTCATGTCGTCAAACGCATCGTGGCCGATTCCTCCTGGCCAGAGGTCGTCCACGAGAAGCGGAGGGCCCGGCGACCCCGGAGTTGGCTGAGACTCGGCGGGTGAGTCAAAGCTGGTCACATCTCGCGACTGGTCGAGGGACCAGAATGCCTCTGCGGATGTCGGTCCAGGAGAGGCTGTGCGCAACTCGGCACAGCTGACGGTTGGTGCGTCCTTGACGGGCGAGCCCATCAAGACGTCTTGGATCACCATTTCTCCCATGGAAGATGCCGACATGGCGCGGCATGTCCTGGCCTGGATTCGAAGTTTCCGCGCCTCTGCCTTCTCCCTGTCTCCTCGATCTTTCCAAGCGGGTTTGGGACCGTAGCCATGGCAAACGATGCCCAGTTGTCGACACTTCCCGCACGGCTCGCCGTCCTCGCCACACTTCTTGCGCCGTAGCCGACAACTCCAGCAGCCGCGCTTACTGCGCTGCGACGTTGACATGGCCCAGTCGCTAGCAAGATTGGAGAATGCTGTCTGAGAATTCCGAACAACCTGGGAAACGAGGGGCCACGGCAACGGGCTTGGTGCGAGCCATGGTGAATTGTCCGGGACACACGAGACAAGACGAGATCCTAGGGCACGCGATGGAGCGTGACGAAAAGAAGAGAGGCCCTGATGGGTAGACAATCCAACCCGGCCGGTCGAATCCAGACATGAACGTCAGTGTCGGTGTCAGTTGCATGTTGCACGCAAGCAAGTGGAGAATCCTTACTTTGTGCAATAAGAGGTGAAATAAGCTTTTGCCCGGGCAGAAGAGGGTTAATTAAGCTCAAGGCATGTGCGCACGCCCAGCTAGCGCGGAACCCTGCCGACCAACGTCGACGTCGACGGAAAAATCCTCACTCACTCACTCAATAGGCGAGGCGCCACAAGCAAGTCACAACGCATGTGGAATCATGGAATCAGTGTACGAGTCAGGCCACGCACGCGTCGAGATGTCCATTTGCTTCATCCATCAAAGCATGCCGAACCGACAAGCACGCCAACCCTCAGCCAGAACAGAACCCGTCGTGTCGGCCTACCTGATGGTCTTGCCGTGCCAGCCTACATACAGACTGCGGCACAACACAACACGAATACCTAGTCGGCCATGCGGCGGCGGATTTGGCTCAGCATGCCATGAGCTGGTACTTGCTCTACTGGAGTGGAGGTTGAGCCCTTCCTGCTTCCTACTGCAGGAACTTCTGGAACTGTTGGCTTTCCAGTCCAGAGTTCGTGCAACACAGTGACATGGCATGCATTCTCGCCATGCACTAACCGCCAGACGAGGTGCTTTGGCCGGGCAAGCGGCAGGTTGTGGCCGACTGGGCCATTATCGCTTCTTTGCCCCGGACGCTTGTGCTCTCACCGGTCCTTCTATCTGCATGCAAGACATGTCCGCAATGTCACGCCCGTCACTGATGCATTGCATGCACCAACTCCAACTTATAGCATGTACGGAGTAGCAGAAGATGCTATAACGACCTGGGTGTACACCAAGGACCTGCCTTGTTGCGGACTTTCTGCACTCTGTTCACAATTTCCTCGCTAACTTGTTCACAATCGCCTCACTCGCGATGTCGTCAAGAGATCTGCGCACACGCCCCCTGATGCTGTTGATTATGCCCTTTACTGTAAGTGGTAGCTTGCATTCCATTTTCATCGGCATGGTGGCTCTTGCATTCTGAGGGATAAAAATCCAAGGGAAAAGATCGTATCCCATGGCCCTCTGCCAGCATCCCCAGGGGCCCCAACCTTGAGCTGCCATGTGTCTCGAAAGAATCATCATACGCCTCCATTGGTAGTTTGGAACCTGATGATTGATAAATCTGGTATCGGCAGCACCAAGCTGTGGATAGTCTCTCCCCGTGCTGTGAAAAAAAAGGGGGGGTGAGTGCTGCAGTGTTTCTAGAGCCCTTCGCTTGACGGTGGTTCATGTGGTACAAGAAAGCATCGGGAAGCCAGCTGCTGAGGGCACTTCGTCTCGAGCAAATCTTCTTTCACATCTCCCGCCGTACCGAGAAACACCATCCTTCCAATGACTGTCTTTCCGAGCCCTTCCCCCCAGAGTCAGTGGAGCAGAGACAGCAATCGGCTGCCCGGCGCTCCCTGCAAATCGGCACAATGGCTCCAAAACTTCATCAAAGCTGTGGACAGCAGGAGGGATGACGACTCTCTCCACCCCGTTGTGCAAGATCTCAAAGATCTCGTGGAAAGCAGGCCCAGCCTCCGTATGTGGGCATCGGCCATGTTCGATGAGATCCCCAACAAGGTTCCATACAACGAGGCCCCAGTCGATGGGAATCTCGTCCGGGGCCATCGACACATGCTCAAGTTGTTCAGTGTCATCGTCGTGGAAGTTGCCCCGACCTGGAACATGGCTAACGGTGGGCATGGGCTAGTTGGGCTCCCATTCCAAGCTATTTTGGACTGGCCCATGGGAACACCAAGCGGGCATGCCTTCTTCTTGAGCCAAGACGTAAACGAGAGGATGAAAGTCATACTCGACACCTGGAGAGATGGTGTGTTGAAGACGAGCAAGTCGCAATACGTTGTTACGACCGACGACGGGGGCTGGCTCGGCAATGAGGCCCTCATGGCCATTGAGAAGGACGCCAATTTGGACAGCGAGCAATGGCACACGTTTCAAGAGTTGTTTGAATGCGACCCTGAAAAAGACCCAATTCACTGGGGATTTGGTTCGTGGGACATGTTTTTCGTGAGGAAATTCAAGGATATTGACAAGCTTCGTCCAATTGCGTATCCAGACCATCCAGAGTGGGTGGTAAATGCTTGCGAGTCCAGGCCGATCATGGTCCGGTCCGGCATCAGGGAGTATGACAGGTTCTGGCTCAAGGGCCAGAATTATTCCGTCCGGGAAATGTTGAATCACAACGTCCTGGCAGCCGACTTCGTTGGCGGCACGGCGTATCAAGCTCTCTTGATGTTGACGTCATATCATCGCTGGGCGTCTCCCGTGTCGGGGCACGTTGTCCATGCCGAGATTGTGAGCGGGACTTACTTCTCGGAGCGTCAAGCGAACGGGCTTTTCAGCAGCCCAGTAGGACCGCCCGAGTATAACCAAGTCTATATGAGTCACGTTGCCACGCGGGCCATCATCTATATCAAGGCGCCAGACCCGGTCGGGTTGATGTGCCTGATTGCCATAGGGACCGCGGATGTGTCGACATGCGAAATCAGCAGCAAGTTTGCCGCCGCTTGGCCACAGCCCGTGAAGAAGGGAGAGGAAATCGGCATGTTTCATTATGGAGGTTCGAGCCTATGTCTCCTCTTCCGCAGGGGAGTTCGACTGGCATGGGTCGAGTCGGCGATTCCCGGCAATTCGGGGCGGAACCTTGCAGTCCGCAGTGCGCTGGCAGTTGCTTATTATGCAGCGTAATAATAAAAGTCGTCTTGAGACGGCTTTTGAAACCTATCCTTCATGTACATACCAGTATGCATAGAAGAGACCTTGGAGAGAATGGGCAAGGGACCTCCCCCCAACATGCTCACACGCGACATTGTCCATGCTGATATTAGTTAGTCCCAAATCTGCAATGCTGATGCGTACACCCATACCTGGCTAGGCCGTCCTGTCTCACCGTCGTCCTCATCGTTTAGTCTTTCGTCTCGCAGTAGTCGACGGCCCCTCGTTGGTTCTTGCATGACGGGCAAAAGTCTGTGTCAGGTTATCGGCGTAGACAAAGACGGAAGGCTTCTTTCCAATATATTGGCCGGCATCGACGTCACAGACCCGCCCCCTCACCGCCTTGGGATTTCCACGAGGTTGCGTCGGTGGGAGCCGACAAACAAAGAGTCCAGTCTATGGCGTGCTGTACTGTAACATACCGCGGTGTAAGTGCATATTTTCTTTCCATGGGCAAGAACTCCGCACGCCGCTGTATAGTGGCCCTAAACGCCCCAGAATATAGAGCTTTACAGTGCTTGCGATGCTTGTGATGCTGGTGATGCTGGTGATGCTGAAAAGCTGATAAATTCGCTGTGGGACCGTACAAAGCAGGATCCCCACCTTCTCTTGGCAGCGCTTGTACTGACAGGGGTCAAAAATCAAGGTCAACCACCGGCCGATACCGGTCCCGTAGACTATGTCATGTAGAAATTTCTTTGACACAGTCAAGATTTGGAGATTACCAGGTAACGTTGCGTCGAGCCAGTCCAAGCGACGCCAACCGATGAATGGCATGTATGACTTTTTACGGGCAGCACGGGTTACGACGGTGATTTGAGGTAATCCTCGGTCCGAGGTGCGTGGTACCCGATGGACCGCGATGCCATGCCGTCCGTGGTGACGATCCCTCACGCCCCTTGGCCTTGTCGTCGAGAAAAGTGTTGCACGGAACTTGCGGTCAGAGCCTCAACCACATGCTGGCATGCAATGCACAAAGGCCCACCAAATGTCAACCAAGCCCTTGGTGCCTCAGTCGTCCGCTCGGGCTGCACACATGGGCATCTTGTTGTACGATCTGACATCGTGGAGTTGTCTTTGCGCCAGGCACTCATAGACAGATGGCCTCTCCGGCAACTTCCGCGAAACCTTCAAAGTTTTCCGTCGGGATATTGTTCTTGACGTATTGCGTCCCATGTCTCGAGCTGCCATTTGCCGTTGGTTGGACACGAGGGAAGCACGCCTTCTTCTTCTTCTCCTCCTCCTTCTCCTTCTCCTTCTCCTTGTTACGTAACGTCTTAAAAATGCAAATACTCGTGTAAGAATAACTTCAGTACGCATAACAACATAAATTAATATTAACCGACGCACCCTCGCCGCCTGATATGTTTGCGGGTCTCTCATCAAACTTCTTCTTGATATTATGTCGTCATAACGTAACATAAGGAACAAATACAGCAAACATAATAGCATAGATTGACATAAGCCGAGACGCGCATACGCGTCGCCTGACGTGTTTGCAGGTCGCCCAAACCTCTCCTTGTCGCCATTCAACGTCGCGACAATATATGTACGTGCAGTTGTAAGCAGCAAATACAATAAATCCTGCCCTAGGCCAGCCGGTTCGGAAATCTTTGCACTATAATCCCTCGACTGGCAGAAAGAGCGTGACATCTCGTGCGCCGTCCACCGTCCACGCCTGTCAACCCTCCAAGAAAAGAACGCCTTGTCTTCTTTCCTGCCAATGGTGCCCAAGGCTGCTGCTGCTGTGCTAGCCGCTGCGTTTCCTGCCGCTTCGGCAGCGGCGGCAAGCATCGACAAGAGGATTGTCGGCGGAGTAAATGTCGAGGGCAAATCCGATTTCTCATACGTGGTTGCCGTCAACTCAGCCTCGGGCATCTTTTGCGGCGGCATCTTGATAGGCCCGAAGACGGCCGTTACCGCTGCTCACTGCGTTGAAGGCGCCAAATCCGTGAGGGCAGGTTCCCGGGTAAATATGTTTCTTGTTTTATTCGTTTTTCAACTGCTGGCCGTTTGTGTTTTGTCCGTTTCCGATTTCCGTCTTCTCTGCGGCCGCAGGGCCGTCCGGTAATCTCCATGTCTGCGGCTGACGATGAATTGGTTACCTAGGACTCCGAGACGGGCGGAATCGTGGTGGAAATTGAAGAAAGCCACATACACCCCGATTTCGATGAGGGTAAGCCGTGGGAGGGGACACCTGTTCTTCTCCACGATATTGCCGTCTTGAAATTGAAATTTCCAATCCGGGAGAGCTCGTCAATCAGCTATGCGCGGTTGCCGGCCAACGGCTCATATCCCGTAGCCGGTTCCAAGGCGACAGCCGCAGGCTGGTAAGTATGGTGATCCCGTCCGGTCTGGTGCATTTTCAAAGCCCATCATATAACTACATGGGGAGGTCGGGAATTCAACGCTGATCAAGACGCAAGGGGGTCGCAGGTCGTCCTCCGGGATCGCGATACCCCCCAACCTGCAGTTCACCTCGCCAAGGTTGAGCTCCAGATTCACCACTGGAATTTTTGTCGTTCACTGAACCGAGGTGCGAGCGATGATGGGGCTCATCGAATATGCGCTGGCGGTGGTACACAAGGCAAGAACGTATGCAAGTACGATAGCGGTGGTCCGCTCCAGGCGGCATCAGGAGAGGTTATAGGTCTCATGTCATGGGTCATACCAGACAAAAAGTCGACTCGCTGCAAGGATAAGCCCGCCGTGTTTACTTCTCTCGGTTTCCCATCGTTTCTCTCCTTCATTGAGAAGCATCGTGAGAAGACGAATTCCAAGCCGAGCACGGTGTGGGAATGGTCACCCGAGATGCTGCAGGAACGGTGTGCCTATTTTGACGAACTGGTCCTGTCCTTTGAGCTGTCTTCGGGCCCAGGAAGGAATGTGATAAAGATTGACTTCCCCGGCGCGGGAGCTGAAGCACATACTATCTACACCGGCCCTGATGCCGGCTCTTACAAATGGCAACATCTTAACATGAACAAGACGTTCAGGTCTGCCGCGGTTGAGCCCAGTCTCCTTAGCAGGGTACGACTTTTGGCAGACCCTGGAGGATGGAGAGTGGTAGGTCCGGGAGACGACTTCACGGTTGCCAGCACGTCACCTCTTGTCTCTTGCCGAGCCCCTGTTGCGCAAGATGCTAACCAGACTTTTCTCACGACCAGGCATGAAGTTCCGCGGCCGGTGTGACGGCTCAAACGTCTGGCTCCAAAACGACAAGTTCGCTTCTTTTGATAAAACTTTGAGAATCAAACCAGATGGTACCGGCAGCTTGTGGGGGGGGTCAACGTATAAAGTCTGGGAGGGCTCCTTGCCTTTGGAGGACTGGGCCCCAAAGCCGGCTTGTACTCATTTGCAGCAAATGCAGGCTACCCTTCGCATTTCCGACGCGTATTGGTCTGGAACGGACAACGACCTTTACTTGGTAGTCGGCGAAGCTCGTTACCTGCTTGCGCACCGTCCCTCTCGAGGGGAGGTATTCACCGCGCTAGTTGACCTTGTGGAATCTTACGGGTCGCCTATCGTTGCTGTCGAGGATGTGAAGCACATCGCCGTTCACAGTCAGGGCCAGCATGACCAGTTCTTGCCTCAGCGTACGTCAATCCCCCCCCCTCTTTCTAGTCTACCTGACTCGGCGTCGAGGACAGAGAATAAATCTAACCTGCAGTACCACTACAGTACTAACCATAACTGGTCTTTGCCATGGCCCGGCGAACACTCTGCTAGAAATTAAGCACGAGGCGAATGAATGGGTCGCTGCCGGCGATGACTTGTCAATTGACATATCCCCCGACTTGTGGGAAATGGTCAAAAGGAAGTGAAATCAAGGTTGAGCTGCCTGTTTGTGGAGGATCTTGGTGGTTGAACAAACGTGCAACCATGGCCAATTTACTCGCGGAGCCATCGGCAGGCCGACGTGGCGTTGTGATTGCACCGTGATTTGCGGCACAGTTGTCCATACGGCGTCTTCGAGTTGGTCCAGGCAGGTACAATACAATGATACAATGATTGCATCTAACGGACTGGTGTGGTGCTGAAACTGCCGCGTGAATCGAATCAAGATGTTGGTTGACCACTGTCGGGTGAAGTGGCCGACCGTGCGACCGACCGACCTCGTACTGTCGCATTGTGCCTCAGGTTTGCCGCAATGCTGATCAATTGCCCTTTGCACACGGCGGCGTGCTGACCGCTGACGGCGTGACATGGTGGCGCACCGGGCGGGCGGGCCTCCTCGGGCGCGGCCCGTCCTGGCGTCTTTCTGTCGAATCCGCGATGCATCGGATTTCCCGAGTCCAGCTGGTCGCGGCAGCGGCGGTTGCGGGACTCGGACGGTCGTGGCCAGATATTTATTTCGGTCTTGCGAGTCTTTGGAATGCTCGTGGCAAACGTGTCGGAGCCCGCCTGGTGTTTGTTTGAGCTGCAAGCCCCGTCAAGGTCAAATAACCCGCAAACTGAATAAATTCGCTTGGCCGTTATGCAATCGCCGGCAAGGATCCACACTGTAGAGTCGAGCTACTCGGATGCCTACCAGCAGGCCGTCATCGCCAACTACGACGATCCGCCCACGGTCTGGGAAAAGGTCCTCGGAGAGACCTTGTCCTTCAACGGGGGCCTCTTCGACGAGGCAGAGCTCGCCGCCGGGCCCAAGCCAGGACCGGTTGGAGCCTCCGAGTTTCGGGGCATCAATCGTCAGCTGGAACTTGCCGGGCTGCTCTCGCCAGACCGGCCGCAGCTTCATCGGATCCTGGATCTCGGTTGCGGCTGGGGCGTCCTCACTCAACACCTGGCCAAGGCCTTCCCCGAGTGCCAGTGCATCGACGCAATCAACATCAGCCGACGGCAGCTCGACTACTGTGCTGAGAAACTGCCGCCCGAGCTTCGCAGCCGGGTCAACCTGTACCTCTGCAACGCCCAGGACGTTGACCGACTCCCGGGCCCGCAGGAGCCGTACGATTTCGTCTTTGTGCGAGGCGTGTATCTGCACCTCCTGCCCCCGGTATTCGAGGCATCGGTAGCCCGGCTTGCGCAGAGGATACGCCCTGGCGGCATCTTGCTTCTCTCGGATCCGCTGTACAGACATGTTGACGTGAAGGCCGACGTGTCCGCCAAACCGGAACGAGCAGATGGCCTAGGCACGAGCGACCACAAGACTCTGCAGTATTACACGTCTGTCCTGGAGAAGAACGGGTTCCAGATACAAGACCTCAGGGTTTTGCCTTCCAACGCCGAATGCATACACTGGTTCAAAGTGCTGCGACTCAACATTGAGGCAAACTTCCCAGCCTTCCCAGACGATGTCTCCGTGCCGGTCAAGGACCTACATGAGTTCGCTGACAGCTTTGCCCAGAAGTTGGCCGAGGACAAGGTCTCCATGTACAGCGTTGTCGCGAAACGAGTTACAACCTGAGGCCGACCGGGGCAACATGCCCGACTTCTTGGTCGCGCGGCGGGACGCTTGTCAAGCGTTGTTGGCAGACGCCCCTTCAAAGGGGGGAACAGGCCGTGATTCAAGCTGGAAGAGGGTCTTTGCTAGTCGTCTAGTTTAGTGGTCAATTTAAGCACTAGTTAAAGCTCCAAATCTTTGCAACGCCAAGGTTAGGCACCCTTCTTCATATAGAGTTTCTTAGAATTCCCTTGGTGCTGCTCACTTCTTTCGCAGGCACGCACTCCATAGACACCTTGTCCATCGCTACTCGACGTCCAAGGCTTGCGCATGCCCAATGCCAGCCGGCCAGGTTGGGTTGCTGATGTGTGTGTCCCCCGGCATGCAGCGGCTGAGACACACCGCAAGCTCTTGAACGCCATGCAGGACGGGAGGCCTGCTGATACGTGTGCATCTCTTGAAGCCCCGTTGCCGACTTTTCCCTCCTGGCCAGTTGATACGGGCCGCGGCCTCGTACGTCCAAGCCGGCGTCGGAAGAAATAAAAGCTCTGCAGCACATGCCTCGTCACCTAGCCTAGGTCTTCTCGCCAAACGAAACGACAGAAATCCTAGTCCCCTCACCGTGAGTGAGAACGATATTCCTTATACTACCTGCAATTTTGCAGTGACCAACGAGGCGGAAGGGTCCGGCGACATTCCAGCAACACGGGAAGTCAAGCGAAGCCAGTCACATCGCCATCTGGGAGCTGCTTTGCGTTCGTTCTGCTTTTGTCACAGGCCAGCTCATCCCGTCTGGTTTGGCTTGCAGCCATGGCTACCTCCAGACGTGGCGGCACCAAGATGACGGGAGACAATCCCAGCATTGTTGCATTGACGTCGGCGGATGACGAGGAACCGGATCTCTCTGCCACGGAGAGCACCCAGGAGCGGCGGCAAGTTGTGCTGCCTCCCTTGCAGTCGGGCGAGATTCCCGCAACGACAAAGTACGAGATGCTCGGATGGTTCTCCTACTACGCCGGGTGTAACGGCATCGGGGGGTACAACTTCGCGCCGTCGGCTTTCCAGAACCTCCTGTCCCAGGCCGCCGGCGGCTCGAAGCTCTACTTTGCAGGCCGCGAGCGCGACGTCAACAGCATCGTCCTTCTCTGCAACGGCATTTCCTTTGCCATCCAGATCGTCCTTTTCGTCGTCATTGGCGCCTACGCCGACTTTGGAACCGGGCGAAGATGGGTGCTCCTGACGTGGTCCATCATTGCCTACGGCGTTGGGTTTGGCTGGATCGCGGTCCACGACTCCGAGAGATGGAAAGCCGGTGCCGCCCTCTACATGGTTGGGCTGATCTCGTACCAGGTCACCACGACGTACTGGGCCGCTGCGTTTCCGGCCCTCGCGCGGAACACGGAGCATCTCAGGGACTCCCAGGCGGGCTACAAAAACGGAGAGATATCTCTGCAGGAACTGCGTCGGCGAGACGACCTGGAGCGCAGCCGGCTGAGCAACGTCGCCCTGTGGATCCAGTCCATTGTCGAGGTGTTTATTCTCGCCGTCATCATTGGGGTCATGTTCGGCCTTGACGTGAACGGCAGCGAGGCCAAGAACAACTGGGGTCTGTCGGTGCTCATCGCCCTGTCCACGGCATTCTGGCTGGTGCTTTCGATCCCTTGGTTTCTTCTCGAACAGACGCGTCCTGGGTTGCGGACTCCGCCGGGCAAAAGCGCCCTTGCCGTCGGCTTCTGGCAGCTGCACACGGCGTGCAGGCAGGTGTGGAAGCTGAGGCAGAGCCTCATCTTCCTGGTTGGGTATTTCTTCCTGGGGGACTCGCTGACCACGAGCGTCACCGTGGTCCTGACGCTCCAGAACCAAGTTGTCAGCTACAACACCTTGACTCTGACGTACTTGCTGCTGGTCAACGTTGTGTGCCAAGTGGTGGGCGTCGGCGCGTACTGGACCATCCAGAAAAGGCTCCGGCTGACGGTGAAGCCGATGCTAAACGCCATCACGGTGTTTGCCGTCCTGCTGGCGACCTGGGGCATGGCAGGGAACTGGACGCAAAGGTTTGGCTTCCACACCGTCTGGGAAGTCTGGGCCTTCCAGGTATTCCTGGGCCTGTTCATCTCGCCCTGGTACAGCTATGCACAGATCGCAATCAGCTCGGTGACCCCCCGCGGCCACGAGTTCCTCTTCTTCTCCATATTCAACATTGTCGGCAAGGCATCCAGCGTCGTTGGACCGCTCATCAGCAGTGCCATCATCGACGCGACACCAGGGGGCTCCAATACCAGCGCCCCGTTCTACTTTTTGTTTGCGCTGAGTCTGGTGAGCGCAGTAGGGATCTGGAGGTTTCTAGACCTGGAGGAGAGCGCCAGAGAGCAGGAACGCTTCCTTGCCGACGAAAATGCGCGCGCCGAGGGTGCTGCCAACGTCGCCGGAGCGAATGGCATGGTGCGGAGATTGGCGTGCTGACGGCCAGCAACGTGTGTGACGGTGGCAAACATGGCCGGCAGAAGCACCTGACGGTGGGAGCAAAGCAAAACGTCTGGTGGAAACTGTCCGCGGCTTGTGTTGGCCTCCTACGAAGCACGTGCCCGCAAACTAGACTATATTAGAGTACAGCACGCGGCGGCCCGGCGCCTGCTCTGGTCAAGTCCTCTTTGCCTCCCACCGCATCGAGTATCGAGTATCTTGCATCCTGTGTGGTGTCAACAAGCCTCCTCTGTCGACTCCCACGGATTCCTGACCGTCGGGCAGCTCGTCACCCGTCTCTGCGCTCCCGTTTTCGATCTACGTCCATGTCCGTGATGCATCAAACTTGAAAAGGGGTCCTGGCAAGGGCTTAGACGTAGTACCTACCACTCCATAATAACTGCGAGACGCGTCGATCCACCCCCGTCAACCCAGCAATCCATCCCATCTGCCGGCGGCCCCAGCGGCACCGTCGTCAACTGGAGCAGCATACGTACTTGGGCCGAAGCGGGTTTCAGCCACGGCACCGAGCAATCCAGCGCTTCATGCGCCGTCCCAAACTTCCAACCACGGCTCCGGTCCGTTCTTGCTCCAGATTTAAAACCCCCAATGCAAGTCAGTAACTCGGTACAGCCGTGAGGAAATCACCGCTCCTTTTCCCTTTCCGCTTTCGCCTTCGCTTCACGGCCCCCCATCCCCCACAGCCAGCGGCAAAACATGACGGGCAACGACCGAGGCGCATTTCGCAGAGTCGGCCGCGGCGGCGCAGGCAACGTTTACCCGGCAAAGCACGACCAGGCTGCTGCTGCGGCCACAACAGCTGCCGACAGGGTACGGCCAACCAGCAAGAGAAGAGTACGCAGGCGGGATCCCCTTGGCACACCGCAACGCAGATGAGCTAAAGCCAGGCAGGACCTCGAGCGGCAGGACGCCGTCGCCGCGACGGTCCAGGACCCTGCCGCCGCAGGGCAAGCCATCCGCGCCGGCCGCGGTGGAGCAGGCAACTACGTCGACACGTCGCCGCTCCCGGGCGCAGACGACGCGGGCCGCAGCATGTCACGACAGGTCGCGGCGGCAGTGGCCTCGAGTCGGAGGCGGCAGCCGCGCCGGGCGATGGGCGGGCGAGGCGGCGCGGGCAACTGGACGGGCGAGGAGCACGAGCGGCGGCGGCGGCGGCTGCGGGGAGACGACGACGACGACGACGCGGCCGAGGAGCTGGAGCGCAAGGTCAGGGAGGCGGTGGACAAGGGGTTGAAGGTTCCGGAAAAGGTTCACCACGGACGGGAGAGGGAGGCGAGGTGAGCGTGCGGTGCGTGCGGTGCATGGCCTTCTTCTGGCTTCCCGTAGCGACTGCATCAGTCTGAATCCTCCCGCCTTGACGCCACGGGAAAAACGGGGCCTCGGATCAAAGTACAAGCAACAAATCGTAAAATGATAGAATATACACTGAAAAAAAATAAAAATAAAAAATAAATCGTCTTGTTCCTCTTTTCCCGCAATGAACACCCATGGGCCATGCATGCATGGCCCGTCGGTCCAGTCCATGTGCTCGGAACGGAACAACCCCCTCCCCCCGCGCGCGTCCGATCCCGCAACGGCAAAAAACTCGCTCGCATCGCCAGCCCTCCCCTTTCAACGCCTTCAACCCCAACCAACATGTCTTCAGTCTTTGCTATCGGTGCTGGCGCTGCCGTCGCCGCATTTCTCGTATGTCTCTAGATTTGCTTCCGGCCGATTCCTCAATCCCGTCGCCGCTGCAAGGCGCAGGCGCGCCGGGGATGCAAGAGTCAGAGGAGAGAGGGAAAGACTAATGATAAACTGCTAGGGCCGAGCAGGTCTCGTCGCGTGGCGCCGCTCCCGCGGCGGCGTCGGGGCCATGGGCAAAGCCTTTTACAAGGGCGGCTTCGAGCCCAAGATGACCAAGAAGGAGGCTTCGCTCATCCTGTCGCTCAAGTAAGTTCTGCCGGCCTCCTTTGCACATGCAGCAAGGACAGGGTGCTGAAAGCGATGCGGTGCGCAGCGAGCGGACCATCTCCAAGGACAAAGTCCGCAAGGCCCACCGGACCATCATGCTGCTGAACCATCCCGATCGAGGCGGCAGTCCGTACCTGGCGACAAAGGTCAACGAGGCCAAGGAGTTGTTGGACAAGCAGACCTGAGAGACGCCCGGGGTCCTGCTTCCCCAGATACCGTGGGCGGCGATGGATGGATGCTGCCGAGGCTTCGGTGCGCCCCGCGGCGGCCCACGGCGCAGCGTCACTGGCATGGGCATCATGTACACTAACACATAGCGATGGCGTTGCATGGTTGAATTCGAAGCTAGCTAAGCGCAGGGAGGTTTTGGTGTGCCCACGATGAATAATGAGCTAGACAGCTATCTCGGGGGGGGGGGGGTACGATATTAAATTGCAGCAGTCAGCGTGCTCGTCTTGAGACGGTTCAAGTGACTTGCGTGTCTTGCTCGGGCTGCAGTCCGGCCAATGCGATGGCAACCATGGCTCTGAGCGTGTAAACGGCGTCGTTTCCGGCATTGTGCAAGTTCTTATACCTGACATCGAGGTCTGCGAGTACACTGCCCAGGCTGCAAGATTTCGTGCCATCCTTCCAAGCGCGGTAAATGGCTTGTGTGTCGATGTTGCCGACCAAACCAGGTAATTGGCTTATCGGGAAGCCAATGTTGGAGAGATACCCAAGGTCGGACTTTATGTCGTGGCCAACAAGGAACACGTCATGACTGCCATTTGCGTATTTGGCAAACGTTGCGTTGAGCGTCTCGATGAGTGCTGCCTGGAGTGAAAAGACGCTTGTTCTGCTGTTTGTCAGCATCCAGAATGTCTACCTGCCAACGGGTAAATCCAAGCGCAGAACAAACCCAAAGTCAAAGTTGTTAGGACAGCCCTGAATAAAGCGATAATTCACCAGCCCAGCATACTCCTTTACTCTTATGTGATGCGCATCGATAAAGTGCCACCAATTCTGACCCGACGGTCCAGCATCAACGCCTTTCAGATGCTCCGAGTTCAGCACAGCGATGCCGATTTCCGAAACTGGGTTTGGGGCGACTTCAATCGCTTCCATGTCGACGCAGATAAAGGTCACGGGTCTTGCGGGAGGCTCTCGAGCCCCCTGGAGGCCAAGATGTAGCTGTGCCTGCGAGAGCATCTGCAGACGCGCTGCCCTCGATTTCTCAGCGCGGTATGTACCACCCCGATTCTCTGGGAAGCTGTGCTGCTTTGTTTTATCCCATTCCGATAGCCACAGGTCTCGGTGCACGTCGGCTGCGTCTTTGTACGCTCGGACATCTTCCTCGTTTGCAGCTGGCCATTCGTCGATGCCAAGCTTCTTCCGGTCCCGCGATCGTAATAGGTATCGCGGTCGTGGTGTACCTCCCACTCCGAAATGCAGGTTGAAGAGACGCTTGTTTGGGCCTTGCGGAATGACGAGCTCTGATGCGAGAATCTGGTTTATTCCTTCGAGAAACCCGACAAATTGCACAGTCGGTATGAGAAGGCATGGCTTTTGTTCTGGCTCGGTTGGGTCGTGCAGGTAGAAGCTTGCCCGTCAGTGCTCGGCATGTTGACGCAAAGCGAGTGAAGATACTTACAAATCCCATGTCTTGCCTTCCAAAATTTTGTCAAAGAACGGCTGGGCCTGGACGTTGGTCAGCCTTACAGCACGCACTCATTGCCTTCGTTTGCGTACCCTTGGCTTGTTTCTCTTTCCTACAAACCGCGCTGGGTAATGCACAACCGCGTGCCAGGGACAAAAAGCAATCTCTTCGTCGACAGGTTGTCCGATTTTCAGCGTGGCCGAGTCGACCTCCTTGTATGGAATCGGTGACTTGGCCGGGTTCACCACGTTGACAGCTGTTTCAGCGCCGAGACCATTAGACTCTTCACCTTGATGACGCATCTTGAGGTCGACATGTTCGTCTTCCCAACTGGGTTTCTCATTGCCACGGCTGCTAGGTATCGCTCTGTCGTCGCTCCTCTCTGTCGGGTCAAGGGTGATCTTCTTGCCCAGGATATCCTGAAGCTTGCTCAGGTGGGCATTCAAGTTGTCGTCTGCCATGATCAAATTCACGTTGGCTGCAGCCCGTCACTGATTTTGAGCAGTCAATGGCATGAGGTTCGAGGAGTGACAGGAAACCCGAAATTCGTGTCGGTCGTCACTTTAGGCAGCTGTCAGGCAGGTGGGTTCAGGAAGCAAACGCGACCGATGCATGGGGTGCATTTTTGCAACCGATTTTTTTCTAATCTATTCCAGGTACAAGACGCCCGAGATGAATTCCCCGATGCAGCATCTGTGCAGCGATATCTCAACAATGCATCCTACCGAGACTTGTAGAACTTGGCACCAAAAGTTAGCACTTGGACTTGGTCGAGTAGGACGAATCGAATTCTTACCTCTTCTGCTTCCTCGTGCGTCACCTTTGATACTTCAGACTGGTCTGTGTCAATCAATCCCAGCCGCGACCACCTTGCTTTGAACCAAAAGTCTCTTCTGTCGCCTCCAAGAGCACCAGAAAGCAACCCTTTCTTCAGGTCCCGGGCAAACATGTTGTAAATTTCAGGCTCGTCCATGTTGATCAGCTCCTCTCTCATCACACCAAGACACTCGATCGCCTGCGAGTATTTACTATCGCCAAAACTGTCTGTTATTAGGGATCGCACAATGGTGCCCATCTGTTTGGCCGCGTCCTCGATCTGGCCCATTTCATCTGCAGTGCCCAGCGCCCGCTTGAAATCCGGCACTGGGTTCTCTTCTGAAACCGTGCGCCTGGTGTCCTCGCCGAGGAGAGCATCAACATCCAGGCCCGAGATGGGCTTGACGGTCTCACGATTCCGTCGGCCCTTTGCCTTCGGGGGTACTACGCGACTGGTTAGCGTTCCGGTTGCCTGGGAGGTTTTGGAGACGGGCGCACCCTTCTTGACCTCTGCTGCTTCAATCAGACTGTCTATTCGAGACTGAACTTCCTCAATCAGGTCTTGTGGAGGCGATGAGAATCTCAGCAAACTAGCTGGTGTTTCAGGCACGGGTCTTTCGGGATGTGCTGCTCGCATTTTCACAGCATTGTTCACTCTGTGAATAAGTGGGTTAAAGGTCTCGTCAATCGGTGCAAACTCGGTCGGATTGCTATGTAGGTTAGAGTCTGTCTGTAACGTGATAATTCTCGACCAACCTACCCATTTTCATCTTGGCCGTACGTGGCAAGATCCATGGCATCAACGTAGTCGCTCATTGCTTCGGCAAGCTTATCTGAAGGCAAGAAACGGTGCTTTTTCAAAGTCTGGCCGCTAACAGTGATGACCTTGTCTAACGGCGGGAATTGGTAGGCTCGCACGTCTTCGGCAAACGGCAAAGGAACATCGTAGAGGCATTCCAATCCAGGCTCAAGCTGGGGTGCCATAAGCACCAATACCGGGTCTTTGCCATCCTTGGTTACTATGCGTGCTACTGCATATGATTCAAGCTCAGTGAGCGCCCATATTAGCGATGACAGTGCCAGCTCGGATTTGGTATCGTTCTTTCTTGCGTGTGTAACACACACTTCTCCCATGCTCAGGAACGGCTCGTACTATTGCCATTAGCACGTTGTTGCAACAAAGCCTGCGAACACTGTACCTTGCTCCATGGAATAAATCCCACGATGGAAAAACTCTTCTCTGTTTCCAGCTTCGTAATGTTGTGTTCCGACTCACTGATGTATACTGCCGTTCGGCCATACTCGTACCCCTTGGCAAGGGATTCAAACTCAACGTCGCGCTTTCCACCAGGAGCATCAGGGTCGTTGACCTTGTATGTTCTCGCCTGTCTCACAGCAGAAAATTCAACCCCATCCATGGCATCGTCATCCAAGGTTTGTGTTAGCTGGGTTGCCTGCTCGGATTTGACCACCACGGTACTTGCTGTAGGGGGTCGAGCTAGATGCGTCTTGAAGTATCGTTCTACATTGATCTTCATTGCTGCGGAAAACTTTTCTGGATCACCCAGAGTCAGCGCCCCGTCATATGTCTTGTACGGTTTGACGGATTTGACGCGAGGTGTGTCAAGCTCGTCGATGGCCTCGGCAATAGTGGCAAATACTCCATCTTTGCATTCTTTCGTCAAGGCCTTCAAAGTCTTTTCGCTCGCTGCCTACTAAAGCGTAAGGACAAAGTCCGCAACGGGATGGAAGGAATCATCTTACCTTGGTCGTGGGTTTGTCCTCCTCTTTGAAGCCATATTCAGGGTTATCGAAATCCACACCCCTTCGAGAATTAGCCTGGTCATCCATGGTTTGGCGGTCATTGACGACTTACAAGACAGTTAGCTGGATATCTGAGTCGTTTATCTTCTTGGCAATGTCTTCGATGCCGTCTGCGTCCACCTCGCCTTGGCCATCTGTGATCAGTACGATCTTCCTTACCCACTTGAGCTTCTTTGTAAACGCATCAATCATATCAACGGCAACCACAATGGCAGAAACTGCGTCGCCAGACATGGTCTCGCTTGGCTTCACTGCTGCCTGAAGCGCCCTCAAGCCCGACATGGTCATTTGACCGAGCTCCTGCATGATGGCAATATTTTCGTATCCATCATCCTCTTGCAACTTGTTGTCCGTTTCGTCGGTTCTTAACCCGACCACACCGACACATAAAGTTTTCCGATTTGCCGCGACAATATCGGTAATCTTATCCCAGAAATAAGTCATGCTCCAGTCCAGGTCTGATTCCATGCGACCCGAGTGTTTCTGGGCCATGGATGCACCAAGGTCCAAGATGAAGACTGTTGCCTCCTTGTCCGCCATCTTGGGCCAAGTGGATAAATGAAGGAACTACTGTCGGGCGAGTGATTGAACCAGGCGAGGTCAAGAAATAGCTCGGTTCACACAAGACAACGTCCAACATTGGCCCACTGTAACGATGAGGCCCCAATCCCAACGGTACATTCTCTAGGCAGACGGTGAACAGCCGCAGAGGCATTCCGGCCGAAGACGCGACTGTGATCCACCATGCATTCGCGAGAGCACGTGATCGATGTGCTTGCTCATCGAATGAACCTCGTCCCCGTTTCCGCCTCCGTATCAACCAACATCTGGTGAGATGCCAAGAGGATAGGAGAGTCTTGTTGATAAATTGCCCTTGGTTTGGTCATAAAAAGGTCATAAAATGGCTACATCAATCGTTTCATCTCCGGCGCCGTACCACATCATATCGTAAGATGCCGATGATTCAAGCTGATGGGCAAAGTTGTTAGATCTAACTTTTGTCAGCTACGGGACATTGTTGGGGACTTCGTTCTTCCACGTACGTTTATTTATTGGCATGGGACTGAGGCGGGCTGCTGACATGATTCCCAGTCTTTCATCAACGGGCCCGTCATGTTCAAGACAGTCGAGCGACCGGTGTTCTCGGCTGTCCAAATCAAGCTCTTCCCCATCTACTTTGGCCTGCAGACATTGCTCCCAGCTGTCTTGGCGCTCACTTTCCCTGGTGACACACTCGCTGGCGTCTCGTCCGGAATATCCGGTCTTCTGGCACCGGCTAGTCGATGGCATTCGCTTGCACCAATCGCCACCATGTTCGTTACCGGATTGGTGAACCTGGTGGTTCTCCTTCCTGCATCGGCCCAGACTATGAAAGACCGCCGTGGACAAGGTATATTTTTCAACTGTAAAATGCACACGATGGTAGATTAACGTCTTTCATAGCCAAGCGCGACGGAAAGGAGTGGTATGAGCCTGGCCCACATTCAGAAGAGATGCGCGCGTTGAGCAAGAAGTTTGGTATGCTGCATGGCATTTCTTCGCTCCTGAACTTGGCTACATATGTTTCGGCTCTCGCCTATGGATTCACTCTTGGTTCTCGACTGCAATCCATTGTGGACAAGGTTTAAAATCTCCAGTCATGAAAGTAGGAGTTGATACAAGTGCAATGATCTGCTCTTGTACCTTGTCAAACAGATACTGTTCATATTAATTACCTTGCGCTAAGCTCTATCTCCGAGTATCTATCCTTGTAAACCCGTCTCGAGTTGCCGACGCGATGTTGGGTATCGCCACTCAAGAAAGTGCTCCATGCTCACGCTATGCGAATGTCTACGCGGCGGTTGCCAGATAGCCACAATCTCCGTTCATGCAATCCATATTTTCTCACAACCCTTTCCTCAGTTTGAGGATTTCTCGTTTGGCCTCATCCAGCTCTTCTCGCGGAGTTTTTTCCTGCTGGCTTGCCCTGGCAGCCTGTCTGCGCCTGTTTGCCTCGACCTGGCCTCGATATGACCATGGTAGCGGCTTCCTCCCCAGGGCCTCCTCAATATTGATGTTGTCAAAGAGTCCGTCAGTTGTGGTGGGTGCCGCTGGCGGCGATAGCCATGGCTCTGCGGAAGTCTGTGGTGAGATACTCGTGGTCGTAGTAGCTTTTGAAGACATTTTGGCCGAGATTATCAATTGCTACTGCAAAAAAACCGGCTGGAATGCAAGTATGCTTTTTTATCCAATATTCAGGATATACAACAAAAGATTGCTCTGCAGTGCGTGACTTTGGGGGAAAATGCACCAAGCTTTGTCTTTATTTTCACCCTTCCGGTAGGGGTAGAATATTTGCTACGAGTTTTCGGAGGAGTGTTTCTCGCAACAAGAGGATGAAAAGCGAGTTGAAATTTTCATCATTAGTTCTATTTGTGGTCTAGCAAGGGCTGAGTCAAGTCCACAAACTCGTCAAGCTAGAAACTCGGTCATCGTCTCCACCAGCCTGCCGCGTCTACAAATTTGAAGAATGATTACGGAGTACGGAGTCGGTTGGTGGGTACATCTCCAGTTGACCTGCCTGTGAACAAGCCGCTTCAGATATCGGAAGTCTCGCCGGCAAGCTCCAAGATCGTCGTGCTCGAAGCCAGTCGCCACTCAACCCGTTGCGAGGCGCCAGTGTTCCCGACTCTTGAAAAGACGTATCGAGATCTGCCACAGTTGACACGGGTGGCGTGGAGGGCAGCGATGATTGTACGGGTCCTCGGTCCAAGGAAGCAACAGAATACGTGCTTTTCATCGCGGCTGGGTCCATCGATATACCACTGGTTGATGTGATCTCCGGCCCATCACCAATGAATACCGACCGCCACCAAGCTCCCCTCAACACCAACGAAACTGACTAAGCAATGAAAAACCTCATTTCGGCTCGCTACCGGGAGTCCAGGACGGCGCGCGCCAGCCCCCAAGTCATCCCTATTCCGCCCCTTTGGCACGTAACAGGGACGCTCTCCTGCATTCATCAGATATGGCATCTCCACCCAAGTACCTGACCGGCGACAAAGCCGCCATCAATGACTTCATCGACAAGTTTGACGTGCGTTATCATCCCACGCCCCCTTTCCCGCCAATATACGTGACTGACAATGGCTGCAGACGTTTCTATTCGACTGCGACGGTTAGTTCTGCACACAACTCCCGCCAGCAACTCCGCCCAACTGACCCCAGAACGCTCAAGGCGTCCTTTGGTCGGGCGACCATGTCTTCGACCGTGTTCCAGAGACCATCATGATGCTCAGGGCCAGAGGTTCGTCTCGCTCAGCCTCTCACTCATCCCTCCCGCATGTGCAGGCCGACTCACGGCCCCCGCCCAGGCAAGCGCACCATCTTTGTAACCAACAACTCCACAAAATCCCGCGAGGACTACCTCCAGAAGCTTTCCAACCTCCGCATCCCGTGCGAGAAAGAAGACGTCTTCGGCTCATCCTACTCCGCGGCCGTGTATATCTCGCGCATCCTCAAACTACCCCCAGGGCGAAACAAAGTCTTTGCTATCGGCGAAGCCGGCGTCGAGCAGGAACTCGCTGCCGAGGGGATCCCTTGCATCGGCGGCACCGATCCCAACTTTCGGAGGGACATGACGCCCGAGGATTTCCAGGCCCTGGCGGACGGCACCGCTCTGGATCCGGGAGTCGGGGTCGTGCTGTGCGGGCTAGATTTTCACATTAATTACTTGAAGCTCTCTACTGCGCTGCACTACTTGAGACGGGGCGCCACTTTCCTCGCCACGAACACGGATTCGACACTTCCAATGCATCAAAGCCTCTTCATGGGCGCGGGGTCTATCATGATTCCGCTACAGTATGCGAGTGGGACGAAACCGTTGGAGCTGGGGAAGCCTAGTCAGGCCATGATGGATGCCGTTGAGGGAAAGTTCCAGCTGGATCGGTCAAGGACTTGCATGGTTGGCGATCGTTTGAACACGGACATTAGGTTTGGCATCGAGGGCAAGTTGGGCGGAACGTTGCATGTTCTTACCGGCGTTCATCGAAGGGAGGACTGGGATAAGGAGGATGCCGTGGCCGTCCCGGCGTATTATGCGGACAGGCTGAGTGATCTTGCAACGGTAACTTAGACATAGCATTAGACCATAGACATGCACTAGAGACGATATAGTTTATGAAATGCAAACATCTCGCCATGACATAATGCACTACATGTGTTTAAGTATTTGGGTGCTGTAACATGCGAGACAAATCCTTGCTCCTCGGATACCATGAACAATCATGACATGACACGGGTCAGTCTTAAAGAAAGTATCCCAGTCACCAAGCCCATGCTCTGCCTCGGGCGACCTGAGAATAAATCGAACATCCTTCCAAGGTATCATTCCTCCGCACAGCAAACTCATGCTCGATGACAGCGATGGACAAAGTTTCAGCGGATTGCATTTACTTCTGCTTCTTCTTCTCCTCGTGGCGCTTGGCAAGCTCACTTGTTCTGATAACTTTCGGCTTGTGCGACGGGGTCTTGTACCCCCGAATAGAGGTGGGAATAAACATGCCAACCTGTCTCTGATATTCGACGTACTCGGGATACTTACCGGCTGAAATAGCCTCAGTAAGCCAAGTAGATCCCTGGAAAAGCAGGAACAAGCTGCCGGAGCCGGCAAAGGTCCAGCTGTACAGCGACTTGGTGGCATAGCAACTCCACTGGTACAAAACAAACCAGATTGTTTGCTCTGCCAAGAAGTTGGGGTGACGACTGTATCCCCAAAAACCAGAGGTGACGAATCCCCTGTCGAGATCTGCCTGATCCCAGCCCTTGGGTAACTTGGCGTCCTTTCTGTACCGATGCTTTGCGGTTTGGTACTCTGGGGAGATGTTAGATGCACTGTGAATGCGAAGATGGAAGGTTTGCAAACGCACCCCATTGCTGGCCATCGCTGATCCATTCGGTAAGAACCAGGAGCAGTTCAACGACAAAATATGCATAGTCTGCGACTGTAGGGTTCGGCTCAAAACGCGTGGACAGCAGTATGGCGTAGGCAGGGACACACGAGAAGGCGAAGAGCAAGACGCTTTGTATGAGAGAGATGAAAGTAACATTCAGCGTGAAGAAGACGAGGGCGGGGACTTTGGACTTGACGATTTCCCTATGAATAGATTAGCGTCTCACAGCGAAGCCCTAGGCTCTTCCATGTATTCGCCGTACCATCTGTAATCCTCGGATCCGACATTATATCCACCTCGTCTCCAGTAGTTGTAGGTCAGCCGAATCTTGATTGAGTATATCAGTTTCAATTCACAAGCCGAAACGCGAAACTAAGCAGATGTCTTACGCTCCAGACGGTGCTGAACGCAGCAACTAAATCAATGCGGCTGTGAGGCAAGCCAGCCATTCGTGCCCAACCAGCAAGATGAATAATGTAGAGGTTCGGCAAGATGCTCCACGTGCGATCAACCTGAGAGTAATTTCTGTTCACCTCAGAAACGATCAAAAACACGCCAGCGAAGAAAATCGAGGCCGCAAAGCCGGTGATGAGGGGATTGGTCTCGACATAGAGGCGTTGTAGGTTTTCAATGCTGCCCAAGCTAGCAAGTAGTCGTTCAGGCAATGCAAAGAACTGGTCAAGGAATGGCTCGACTGTTTTGGAGAAATCGCTGCAGTCCTCGATGGACTGTAGGACTGGAAGAGCTGCCAATTTTGCGGCCATAATGGAAGAAATTGGAGAATTGTATGGTTAGTAAGGATGAAGGAAGAGGCGGCCGGGTCGGAGCGTCATTGATGAAGCAAGCTGAAGGTTGTGCTCTTACTAAAAGTACTTGTGTAATTTGAGTACGGGATCCGATGGAAGTCGATGGCTCAGGGATGCGGAAGGACAAGCGAATCGAGACGTGACTGGACATGGAAGCCACAGGAGCCACGTACGGAGCACTGACGTCGTTGGAAGACACCAATTGATGGGACATGCAGACACCAGCTTTCAACCCTTACAGGCAGCATCAGTGCTGAAGAGGATCTTCTCCACCAAGTAAGTACCCAAGTAAGTACCCAAGTAAGAAGTACCCAAGTAAGTGCTTAAAAATAGTGGGTCTGGCAGAGTTCTAGTGCTTCCGCTGGCGGCGCCGGCACTCGTCGGCAGCATGTTGTGCCCTGAGACGCCCCGAACTGAACCGTGTGCGCCGCCTGCATTTTGACTTGGACGGTGGGGCGTCTTGCAGGGCAGTAATTGCACAATGGCTTCGTTCAATCTTTTTACATCTTCTCGGACGTCTGTCCGTAATATGGCGTTACCGGCCATCAATGGGGCTCTCATGGTGGAAAACACGGATTCGGCCTCTTTGTCTCCAGCGTTCGTTTCATTTCATGTGCAACGACTGTCTCGAATGTGTAGCGAGATTTTTGTCCACTGCGTCAACCGCACTGGAAACGCGTCGCGGCGAGCTCTAGTGTCGAATCTTGCTCTTCTTCGTTCACGATAGACGGACGAGCCAGCATATCGAATCCAGGAAACCAGCATATGCAGAGCTCACACAACACGAGGCTCCAAATCCTGTAGTCATGAAGGTCTTGTGTGTGGCGGAAAAGCCTTCGATTTCGAAGGCTGTTGCCGGTCACCTCTCTGGCGGAAGCATGCAAACGGTGAGTATCGCCGATGATGACGATTTCCTCGACGCTTTTCTGACAAGACTTCAACAGCACAACACCCGAAGCCAGTACATCAAGAACTACTCGTTTGATTTCGACTTTGGACAACCCCTGGGCCCATGTTCCGTCACCATGACCTGTGTCACCGGCCATCTAACCGATGTCGAGTTTACCAGCGAGTACAGACATTGGAGCTACCCTCCACCCGAAACTTTATTCAGCGCTCCCATAGTCACTAATATTCACGATGTATGTGTCATCGGAAGGTTAATACAATGGCTTCGTCGCTAACTAGTCGGAACATCTGCAGGATAAAAAATCCATAGCCAAGAATCTTGCGGATCAAGCCAAGTGCGCACGGTTTCTGATCATATGGACTGATTGTGACCGTGAAGGCGAGCATATTGGTCAAGAAATCGTGAACGCAGCTCGCATAGGCAACGCCAGCATACAGGTCAAGCGAGCCAAGTTTAGTAACGTCGAACGAGCGTGAGTGAAGCTAGCGGGACCTGGATTTGATAAATCTTCTGACAAGTACACCACAGCCACGTTCTCTCGGCAGCCAGGAGGCTGGTTGACCTAGACAAAAAGCAAGTTGATGCCGTTTCTACAAGAATAGAACTTGACCTTCGTATTGGCTATGCATTCACACGGTTCATGACGAATAGCCTGCGCCCGCTTGGAGGTCCCATGGAAAATCTGACATTGAGCTACGGTGAGTTAACAGAGACATTGTCCTGAAGTACGAAGACGCCCCTGACCAGTGCCTCTTAGGATCTTGTCAGTTTCCAACCTTGGGTTTCGTGGTTGACAGATACTTTCGTGTCAAGAATTTTGTCCCTGAGCCTTTCTGGAGCATTAGCCTGATGCACAATCGTGACGGCAAAAAGGTCAACTTCAGCTGGGAAAGGAGCAGACTTTTCGACCGCATGACAACCATCATTCTGTACGAAAGATGTCTCATGGCAAAAACAGCAAAGGTAATCAACGTACAGGAGAAGCCGACACGGAGATACAAACCTCTGCCTCTGACAACTGTCGAACTTCAGAAAGCCGCCACTCGCCTTCTTCGAATGAGTGGTCAACAGGCCATGACGACTGCTGAAGGTCTGTACAATAAAGGGTTCATTTCATATCCTCGCACCGAGACCGATCGATTTGATAAAGGAATGAATCTGAAGGCTCTTGTTCAGAAACAGACTCCGGACCAGCGGTGGGGTCAATTCGCCCAAAATTTGGTTAACGGAGCGTTCAAACAACCCAGGGAAGGCAGGCACGACGACAAGGCACATCCACCAATTCATCCGATTACCTATGCCGCACCAAGTGTTCTCAGCCCTGACGAAGGGCGTTTGTACGAATACGTTGTCCGGCGATTTCTAGCATGTTGTTCGGAAGACGCCATCGGGATGGCTACTACTATCGATCTCCAGTATGGAGACGAATTTTTCGGCTCGCATGGTGTTATTGTGCTGGAAAGAAACTACCTTGACGTGTTTGTATATGAAAACTGGGACAATCATGAACTACCAAGATTTGCTACAGGCGAAGTCTTCCAACCTACTGAAGCGATAATGTCAGAGGGAAAGACTTCACCACCGGGTTACCTCACAGAGGCTGACTTGATTGCGTTAATGGACGCCAACGGAATCGGAACAGATGCTACGATGGCTGAGCATATTCAGAAAATACAAGACAGAGAATACGTTGCTACTATCGGTGGTGGTGGTGCGGTGGCGGGTGAGGATGACTACGGAGTCCAAGATGAAGCTTCATCGTCTAGAGGAGGGAGAGGAATGGGCAGAGGCCGTGGAAGTAGAGCGCGTGGAGCTTCGACCTCGACTGGCGGCCGAAGAAGTGGCCTTCGTGTCTTCATTCCAACGCAACTCGGCGTAGCCCTCATTTTGGGATATGACCGAATGAATCTTGAAACTAGTCTCGGGAAACCATTTCTGCGCAAAGAGATGGAACTCAAAATGAAAGCAATATGTGATGGCAGAACAACGAAGGACGTTGTGTTGCGTGAGAGCATAACTCAATACCGGCAGGTTTTTATGCAGACGCAGGAAAAGCTAGATGTTCTTCGAGCAGTATGTGTTCCACAAGTTGCAACAAGATGTAGAGGGATACTGACACGACGCAGGCATGTCGCGAATTCGTGTTTGCGCAGCCCGTTAGCTGATGTGAATGAGCCACACACGCTGAACGCTGTCTGTCTTGGTACAGGGTTTCCATGAGTGCCATCAGAGTGTGACTATCCCACAAACCACTGACTGGGCCAAAATTGCTCGTTTTGTAGGCTGCGAAAACGCGCTACATGCAAGCAAAGCAAAACGATGGATGCCACGCATGCACACACCCTTGGGCAAAGCACCAGAGGGAAATAAGCCCGACCAGCTTGATCGTTGTACACACACCGGGCATTACCAGCCACCGAGCGATTTATCATCTCAGATACCGATGAACTCGCCATGTCAATTTTGACAAGCTGATTCTTTGTCGTTTGAACTCACCTGAATGCGGACCCCGCTCGATAACAATCCTCACTGGGCCGCACAAGAAGCGAGGCCGCAGTACTTGTGTCGGTCCGGGAACATGATTGGTGTATCACGAGAATAGCATGCTTGAGAAATGAGTTGCATAAGCAGAGAATATTGGCTACCATTTTTGGGGATTGTGCCACTATGAGCCCCAATCAGGCTGTGTAAGATGGCCAACGTGAGTAATCCCAGCGATGGCTTGGATATAACGACATTGGAGAGTGTGATTATGTGGATCCACACTACGTACCGCCTCGTTATTAACCTATCCATCGCAGGAGAATCGACAGGGCAAATTGGGCAGGGCTTTCCGCCGCCGGATCACAGGAATTTGTGCAGATGCAGCTGCCGTAGTGGTCCGATGACGCTACCATCAAGAGTCAAGATGGCTCCGCAAACGACACTTGGGAGTGAATGATAGCTCCGGTTTGAACGTTGAACGGTCTTACTTGGAAGTTCGCAGCCCGGACGGCGTTTATACTGGCAAATTGGGGCGAGTTTTCTTTCTTGGCAACAGCTGCGAACTGCAAGTTGGGGCCAAAATACAGCATGACAGACTTGTCGCACAGGCTGCTACAACCCCCGATGCAAATGGCAAATGGTTGCCGACTTAGGACAGCCTCTGCAGCAAAAGAGCCATTGTGGGCATGCAAGAAATTTGCAACTATGTTTCTCCTTATCCCTTCCCCGGCGAGGCTAGTCAAACCCAGAAGGTGTGTATTTTAGGGCAGGGCAATTGGACAGAGCCATCCATTTGTGGGATATGCGGATGGAAGGCCCTGGAAACGCGGCCTGTTGAGACAAATACGAGCTGAAAACAAAGAATGATGACGTCGAGCTTTTCAATGCGTGGACGGGGCACCATGACAGAACCTTAGAACCTGCTTACGACTTCCGATCCTACCACGTCCCTGGTCGATCTCTCCGACGAGGCCCCCTACACTACTTAGACGCGTCTGGGATCTCAACGGCACTGGTACTGACTGCGCTACTCAGAAACGGAGATAACCTGGAGAATGGAGGACATGATTCCCACTCAAGTATGGATCTCTCAACCAAAGCCTACCCACCCATCTAGGAGGCGACCGATTCGACGGCAACGCGGGGGAAGTGAGGGCTCAAGCCAGGTTGGAAATAAGCGCACAAAATAAAAAGAAATGTTGAAAAGAAAAACCGTGCTTCAAAACCTAGGCACGGCGGATCCGATTGCTAGTAGAAAGTCTATTCCCAGGCGGACAGGACAAATCTCAACTATTGAAAGGCAACTAAACAGAAGATTGAACGCTCGTGTCGCGGACGCGCCACCCATCGAATAGCAGGTGGCAAAGTACAAATGTGGGCGGACAGGCATTGGCAACTACACTTCGTCACGCGGACCCAGATCGGAAGCTTTTGGAAACTAGAAGTGAGCCGGACGCTGGTTGTGAGATGGAGCCGGCGCCGGAGCGGGCACCAAACAAGACAGCCACGAGAGGCGGCCCACGGAATCTAACAGTCAACAGGCTTGGATTCTCAGAGCACGTTCTCCCATGCGTGGCCGAAATGCGCTGACCACTCCGCCCACGAGCGTGGTACTTGAAGAGAAGCCTTTTTTCTCCTCCGCTTTTGCTTTACAGCGACAAGGGAAGGGGAAGGCCACTTATGCCGGGTCCATGGTTCGACGGGAAAGCAAATGAGAGAGGGACAGATGGCGAGTATTGTACAGTACAGACGACGAAGCGTGCCACACGGATGTGTGGCAGCCGGAACAAGCGTTGTCGGTGATGTTGATACCACCACGGCTGTGGGCAAGTTGAGTTTGACCCTGCGGAGAGAGAGCGAGAGGTGCTGTAGAGACATGCGCACAGCCATCTCCAAGCACCAATGACATAGTTGTCCGGTCCCCAAAGCAGACATCTGCGACTTTGGATGATGGGCTCGGAAGCCGATTGCCTGCCCTTGGAGAGACGGTCATGCGTCGTCATGCCCTTGGAGCAGTCCTTGGAGCAGTTGGGCTTATCGTGCGCAAGTCAACGGATGCTTGGACTTTGCTTGGGTGTCCAATGGGGTGCGGCACGATGGCTTACGCTTTCGGAAGAATTGATAGGGACACACCGGATTCTCGAGGTAATGCACGCCCCATTGTACAGGTTGGCACGACACACGTTTGGGGCGGTTATTATTAGGACTCACGAGGAGGAGGCTTGGGGGAGCCAGCAACTTGCCAGGGCTGGCCAGGCACCTGGCGCATGGTTGGCGGCAAGGCCGAAGAAATGAAGTGCGTGGGTGGGGTGTGCGCGCAACAATCCCAAGCGTTGACTGGCGTCCAGCCCTGTCGCGACAGCGCCCCGTGGGCCAACGTCAACTTGGGGGTTGCCGCCCGTACCTGGGTACTTGACTCGGCCGCGAGTGAAGCGAAAGAGCCTCGGAGTGCGCTGACTGCTTCAAGTGGGAGTGTGCTGCTGGTGCGTGGCCTGCCTGCCCAAAGCTGGCTGCGACAAACGAAGGGGACGACGGACGACGGGGTACTCGATACCGGCGGCCCTTGTCGCGATTTGCTGCACACGCCGACTGCGAGTACGTCGCATACACGAACAAAGCACATGCGCGAGGGCTGTGTGTGAGTGCGTGCGTGCTTGTGCGCGTGTACAAAGCGAGGTACCTGGGTACAGAGCGAGTACCTTCTCAAGTACCGACAAACCGAATACGCGGGTGTCACTTGCAGTACTTTGTCTGTCCGTCTCTGAGGAACAGGCTGCCCGGTTCTGGTTCTGGCTTGCCTGCTGGGATCCGGCGCCGACGCCCATTACTGTATTACTTGTGCTCATCCATCCTTCGCATCGCGCATTTCCCTTCCCTCCCTTTCCTTTCTCTCTTCAAAGCAACAACAAAGACCGCATACCGACTGCACGATTTATATCGAGAGTCTTCCGTCACAGTCGAAGGTGATCACGCCAGCTCTGCCAGCATAGCCGCTATTGGTTTGTACTGCCCGAAGACAGCACAAAAGCCGTTGCCCCTTACAGACACGGCTTTCAGACGTCAGGTACGTACCTCTTGGCCTCTGCGCCGAAGCTCCTTCCCTGCCTGCCTCCCGCGCCGCACTCTGCTCCTTCTGCACGCGCCTGTGTGGCCCGCCGCCGGTCGCGGTGACTCAATCACGGCCATGTCGTCCATCGTCCATCGCCCATCATCAACTTCCCCTTCGTTTGCCACATGGCGCCTTTTCGTGGTGCTTTTCAATTCCCCCTGTTCTGCCGCGTCTGTGTGTCTCACCACGACAAGTATACTGACCAAATTTTTGTGAAAAAGTTTTGGCCTACGTCAACAGACAGCGTTCTCAAGTCGAAATCGCAACAAACGTCGATAACATGGCTTCCCTGGCATCAGCTGCTCGTGATATCCCCCAGCCCTCCGCGAACCGAGACAACTTAACTGTTGTAGCGGCGCGGGGGGACTCGGCGACTGTGGCACGATCTCATACCCTTCCTACTCCCCCAAACTCTATATCTCCCGCTTTGCCAGCCCACGGTTTAAAGGCGCAATTGCAAAAGGCCAAACTCGAGCCCATCGACTCGGACTTGGATCTGCATGATAATGCCAGTAGTCACGGGCGGTCGCTATCTCCGGCTGCCTTGGAATCAGCAGGTGCCATCACGGCGTCCATGTTGGCAAAGTACCATTTACCAGAGATCCTGCTCAACCACGGGCCTTTGGCTATACGGCACATCATGGGCTATCTGACCACGTCGGTGCCTGGTTTCTCGGGCATACCCCCGACAAAGGCACGGAGACTGGTTGTGAGTGCCTTGGAGGGACGAGGAGGGGAAGGCGGCGGCGTGCAAGGCGACGTCGAGTACGAAAAGGTGGGCTGGGGACGCTGGGATGCGAAGCGACGAGGTGTGGCAGGTCGTGACCGTCACGGCACGCCGCCATCTTCATACGGCTCAGCTATCCCCATCTCCAAGGCAGGTGGAAGAGGGGCAAGGGGTTCCATGGCAGATGCTGCCTTCCACTTCTCCCACGATGACAATGACATCCATATCATGATGGAAACCGAGGCCGACAGGATGTCCATGGACGGTTCGGCCTCGGCCTCGTGCTCCGAAGCTCCAGATGACGATGTTGTCATGAACGATGATCCGGAAGACGTGACGGACGACGAGGATTGGGCCGCCATGGGTGCCGCTGCACTCAGGGCCGAATCCTACCCCAATATGGCTGTTGCGCGGTCAAACGGCGACGCGCACTCTCCAAATTTTCCTTTAATGGGTGGGTTACGAACCTTCTCGGTCAACTCGGGAATGGCACGACCGCCTCAACCAAGCCACGCCGATCTTTCCCCGTTGGCCTGCGCATCTGACGCACAGGAACGTGAGGCTGTCGAGGCTCTTTTGCGACTTGGTTCTGTATAGTACATACTGCATAACAACGGCGTTTCAGGTACGGCATGGGCCTGTTATTCGACTTCTCTTATCTTTGGGATTTGCTCGCAATGAACTGGTTGACGGGTGACCAGTTCGCAGGCGGGCTGACAACGGAACCCAGTCATGGACGCGAGAAATCTCCATCTTCCATTCACGATGATACGGCACTCTGCACTCTTCATATTGGCGGCCCCTTACTTTTATATACATGAGTATTGCTTTGAAGACTCCCTCCCCCTTGGAGGAGTCCGCTGGAGAAGTTTCCGGCATGGTGTCACACTTGGTCCTTGGTCTTTGCCGCCTCGGGCTGATTGTTCCCTTTGCTGGGGCAGCGATGACGACAGGTTGTTCCTGTGTTGGACGACAACCCTCGCTGCTCCCTTGACGGGACCGCGGGTTTTATCAGCCGCCTCTCCTTTTTTATCTTATCGTTTTTGTTTCGATAAACATCATGCTTCTTGCACATACGACTGCCTTTTGTAGCTGACGCCGAATCTCTGGCAACACGTTTCAACAAGAGACAGCTAGAGACTATTGGTCATTTGTTTTCCCTTGAAAGCAAAACACACGACCTCGACGGAAGATGATTTTTGCTCCCTGGACTTTCTCTATTTGCCATACTTCTTGCACCACTTCGCGACTAGTCTAATCAGGTTGAAAAGAGCTTAACAACACGGGGAGGGTTCAAGGTTGAGCATCACCACATTTTCCGTCCAGACACGGACGGCAGATGACGGACGAGGGGAACATGGTGGTTTGCTTCATACCAGTCGACACTCGAGGATGATGGGATGGGTTGGGGCATGGAAAGGAGAGGGAATGGCTAAGCTTCAACACGGAGACGGCCGAGTATTGGAGAATAGCCAAGGTAGACGGGTATGCTTGGGATGACGAGCCTTTTAAGTAGCTTCCTAGGTTCTTTGGACGAGTAGAGCTTTGCACAATAGCGGAAGTTTGAACTGTCATCACATGAGATGTCTCTGTTTTTGTATGCCTCAGTGAGTGGGTCTTTTAAAGACATGTCGAGAATAGACGTGATGGAAGTTGTGCGACGGCCGCCACTTGGCATATTTCTCGTCGGGTTCAACCAGTCAATGTTGGCTTGAAGTCGTCTTGGCAGCACCCGCGAGGAACGGAAGTTGCTCGGCTAAGGCTTCGATCAGACGGCAGTCGAGCAGCTTGACACGGAACCAAAAAGGTGTATGAGAAGAGCAGGAAGCACAGGGTAGGCACAGGCAGCTTAGATATATGCACGCGTGTGTGTATGTGGCTGTATAGCAAGCCTTAATAGGGACAAATATAGATAGTCCTGTAGTGTAGTCTGTCTGTCGGTCAAAATTCCCGGCAGTACTTTGGAGACGAGTTTTCCTTGCGCGTCGGCGTCGGACACGATTCCCCCTCTTGCGTGGCCCGGCGCGTGAGAGACTACTTACTATCTTGTGCTCGAGGTGGCGGGGGTGCCTACCCTGCAGCCGGGCAGCCGGGCAGCAGAGCCCGGTTGCGCGCACGACATGCATGACATGGCGGACGTGCGTTGCTCGGCGAGCTTTGTACCGCCCGTCTTTGGTCGTCGGTCCTCGATTGAGGCGCTGACTGGGCGATGCCCTGCGTGCCCGCCCACACGCTCCTCTTCCCTCTTCCTCTTCCTCTTCCTCTTCCTCTTGGGATTGGGACTGGGACCGGAGGCCGGGTGTGGGATGGGAACGGGTTGGCTGGCTGCGAATCCCATCCTGCGCCGGCGCAAGTCCCAGAGGGGACGGGGACAGAGAAGATGAAAACTGGAAATCATGCACATGACTTGGGGGGAAAAGTTCCCTGCTTCCTCTCCTTGCACGCGGCCACACCGCGCCACCGACCGAGGAAGGAGGCGGTCGCGCGCTCTCCGGTCGCGAATGTCTGCAAGGACTACTACGGAGCACAGAGTACGGAGTCGCGAGGCTCGGCCATTGAGACTGGACGCCGATGTCAGAGGCGATATTGCACAGAGCAGTCCTTTTTGGCAGGTTTTGAGCCGTGAAATTAGGTAAATACTACGTACTCTCTCCGACCCCTGTGAGCAAGGATCATGGCTGCAACAAACATCTGGGTCGAGCAAGGTACTCGTCCAGGCTCAACAGGCTTCGTCGTCTGCGTACGGAGTGTGTGCCAGGGTCATGTTGATTACGGCGCAAATCGTGTCGAGCAGAAGCCGCTCGGGGCCAAGATCCAACATCAGACCGACTCGGCGGGCAGACAACTCTTGTTGACAGCCAGCCAGCAGTGCCATGTATGCTGCCTTTTTCTTTTGGAGCGAGGCGAACAGACACACACTACGCGCGCTCTGGCCTTGGTGTCGGGGGGCTTTACATTGGAGCCGAGGAGCCCGACAGGCGCCAAGGTGCTTGGAACTGGTGAGGCCATCTATCGACTCGTAGTGGCCTGTACCGAGAAAGCACTGCCAAGGATGTTTTATGAACCGAATGGATCAGCGGGAACCAGAGTGTCGCGCAGGACAACATCTCTGTCTTGGCGGTTCGCTTTGCAGGACAATTTGAGCCCGTCCTTGCGTCGTATTTGCCGCGACAAATCAGGCGATATTGTTCCGTATATGATGGAGGAGCTAAGAGCGTCAACTTGCTCATCGGCAATTGTCTCGCACTGGTTGCTTGGAGATGATTCCGAAGCTCCGTGAAGTCAGAGGCGTGAAGTTCCGGTCCCGGTCCCGGTCCCGGTCCCGGTATCAGTGCTACTGGCACACTTTCCAGGCCGATCAAAACGTGGTCTGCAGCGCGGCATGGTGGGAGTTGACATGATTAGCGCCCTCCCCTGACACGAAGCGCAGTGCGAGCACAAGCACACTCCTACCCGGCTGGACCTGGAAAGCTTGTCGACACAAGCTTAACTTGCCCACATGGGTGCCGTGGCGTACATGTTCTGATGTTCTGGTGCCTTTGGAAGATCTGCATTAGCCGACTGCCCACGAGGCTTCGGCCTCTTGGCGGCCAGTCGAGGGACATTGAGGGCGGAGAGAAGAGCTGCTTGGAAGAGTCTGTCTGGTAACTACATGCTGATGATGCGCAACGCGTCAGGTGGCATGCGAGCCTGTCCGAGTCGTCGAGCCCCCGACATCTTGGCCGAGGCTTACTCCGTATTCTCCGTGCCCTTCTTTCTTCCTCTGCCTGTCGCAGTGTGGCGGCACCTGGGCGAGTTATGTTGCAGCCCTTACATGGTGAACCGGGCTGTACGGCTTGGCACGGGCTTGGCACTGCTTGGCATTTGCGCAACGTCTGCGACGCTGTTCCCGTGTTCAAATCATGTTCGTCGTGTCCACGTCGCCTCGACGGGTTGCTGTCGACTTGGGTCGGGCTGCGAAATCCATGCCACGCGACGCCACGCGATGCCACGCGATGCCACGCCATGGGGGCCACGAGCTGGTCCTGGTCCTATCGCTGTCATGGTCAGTTAACACCACCCAGCATGTACGTACGTACATGCGGAAGACGAGCGGTGCGCGGTACTACAGGTGCCAACCAATCCATGGAAGTCTAGAAGCTGGTTGCCAGTCGTGTTGGATGCATTTCACTTTCATTCAACTCCATCCAACCGCTTGGTGCTCCGTAATTGTAATTGGCGAGCAGGTACCAGACGATGCTCCTGGCAAACGAACAACGCCGACGGCTGGACAAGGCTGCCGCTTAAAAGCCATTAGTCCCACGAGCTTGATCACACACCGAGACTCTCGTTGTGCGCACCTACCTAGGCAGTATGCAATACTGTAGGACAGACCGAGGTAGGTAATCCATCTACCGACCTAGAAGGTCATGGCCCTCGTCGTCATGGTCCAGAACGCCGACACTGCGCGTCCTGCAGCCGACCGGCCGCATCGGGCCCCAGAAGCCAAGTCCTTGGCATCAACCGTTGGCGGTGATGGACGATCTGTGTAAGATGCTCGGCGATTTGCGTCCTGCGGAGCCGTCCAACCGTACCGTACCACTGATGGAAAAGGCAAAGATGTGCTAACCGTTACCACGGCACCTCCTCGATGGATTCTGCAATAAGTGCCCAGCCGCGGCGACGCACTTTTGAATGCAGCGCGGTGCGGTGGATAACTGACGGAGTCGTTAATCACGCCCACGTTTTCAGCAGCCGGAGCATCCGGAGTTCGGGTCGAGAGGCTGGCAGGAGGTCACCAAGATTGACACACAAATGCGCTCCATACCTCCCAGGGGCCCACGTAGAGAGACCCGCGCATGTCCGTCTCCCAGATCGAGCAATGTGTGTGTAGAGAGACCCCTGAATGTGAAGCCACCGCCATTGGCGCTTGACATTCCTACCTAGTAGATGGCCCAAATGGAAGGCAAGCACAATCAATTCTGCACCCCGTAACGTGCCAGCTTCTCGAGTCGGCATGGCGCATTCGCGACCGGTGGGGTACGGAATCTTCGGTTGGCTTGAAGCTGTCTCTCTTGTCAGACGCGCTCTGTCTTGCTCGAACGAGACCTTGGTAGCATGTAGTTAGTACATAACTACTAGTACTAGTACTAGTAGTAGAGTGCGTTCTCCGTACTCAGCATTCCCTCTAGTTCTATTTTAGTGTCTGCGTGGCTGCAAGAAACAGATTCAGATGCTAATCTGCGACAGCCACTGACCAATGCAGCAGAAGCAGGAATCGCCGCGGAGCCCGTGGAACTTGCTCCGTAGGACGTACTCCGTAGCTCGACGGCGTTGGTGAAAACGGTGGGCTGGTGGCCCGTGTTATCGCCCTTTTCGGTCCCGTGAAAGTGCGTTGCTTGAATCTTGCGTCTATTGAGCTTGCTTGCCGACTGGCCGTCATACCCGATTCCAGACCATGCCGAGCAGAGAGGTCAGGGCCACTTGGCACATCGACTTGGCCCTATGGTATGGTGTATGGTGTCGGCGCTACATTCCGTATTGGCGAGATCCAACTGGCGTCTGCTGTGAAACCATTGTGATTTCCAGATGCCCAAGCAAATGGTGGAAGGGGATCCCCGTTTGTAAGGAAGCATCGAATTTCTGGCCGTAGTACGGTATGCACGTCTGTTGTCCTTTGAATGGCTTCCCCAGCCCGTGTATCGTCACTCGTCACACAGTTGCCAGCGTATTCCCTCCGCGGAGTCATGGTGGCGTGGTCTGGTCCTGGTCATGGTCATGGTCATGTCCATGGTCATGGTGTCATGGTCGGGGTCGTCATTGTTCGTGCCTTGCCGTGTTTTGACACGACGACGAAGCACGGAATACAAAGTACTACCACTCCATACTCCGTGCTCCATACTTACTCAAGGCACTCACTGTATGCTGCATCGTGTGGATAGTACTCAATGACTCGCCCGTGCTAGCGAAGCGGTAGATATTTGCGGTCAGCATCTCAGAGCCGGGCATTTGCGCGCGCTGCAAAGGCGAAATCCCCCCCTCCCCCCGCTCGCCTTCCTGGGGGCACCAGCACCAGCACTCGAGGAGCCGCTGGCGTCGGGGTTGTTGGACGGTTGGACTGTTTGTTGGATTGTTGGAGTCAGTCGTCGGGTGCATGTCTGGGACCCCGTGCTCGCACGTCTGGGATCCGCCTGGTCAAACGCTTGATGCACGCTGGAGCAGTCGGGCACAACATCGAGGGCCTCGAGTGGAGGCGGCTGCCAATGGAAAAGTGGTGATGGCCAAGTGCCCAGACTTTGCCAAGCCTTGGCTTCCTTGGCGCAGCGCACTCCGCCGCCGGGCTTGGCGTCTCTCCGATAGTGTCTACCTTGAGCGTGCCCGTCATTGCGCACACAATGACGTACTGCGCATCTGGTGTACCCCGAAATGTTTGCCAAGAAATGCCAAGACATTCCGCTCGCCCTTTCTCGTCTGCCCAGATTTCTGTGAGAGTGTAAAGGGAGCGAACGCCCCGGAAACCTTCCATGAGCTGTCCTTCTTCCCCTCAAAACATCATTCTTAAAAACGCATCGTCTCGCAAGGGTTTATTTATGTTAAACCAGAAGTACTAGTCATCCTACGTTTCGCTGTTCTGACCAAACGGTGGTCCTCGAGCCTTGGCGGTGCGCGCGTCCTGACCCCCAATCCACCAAGCTTACACTTGCCCGCCGCTCGCAACCCGGAATTCCGACTCGGATTCCAGTCATAGCACAAGTCCATCACACTGTCATCATCCCGCCATTCTCGGTCGGCCATGACGTCCCAGATCTTGGACGCTGCCCAGGCTTCTTCAGCCTCAAGCAACGGCAGCGACTCCAAGTCGAACACGCCGGCTCCGTCAAGCGCAACGTCCAACACGTCTCAGCACAGCTCTGGCGAGGATAACTTGACCTGTCGCTGGAACTCCTGCAACCAGAAGTTTGCTAGCCCGGAGACACTCTATGTAAGTCGCGGCTGATTGTCGCACAATGTGTATGCGACCAACGCTGGACAGTACATGGTGATGAAACGACTAGCTTCCTTGCGAGACTAACGTGCCACCAGGAACACATATGCGAACGCCATGTTGGTCGCAAGAGCACCAACAATTTGAACCTCACCTGCCAGTGGAATTCTTGCCGCACTACCACCGTCAAGCGTGACCACATCACGTCTCACATCAGGGTCCATGTTCCTCTCAAGCCTCACAAGTGTGAGTTTTGTGGCAAGAGCTTCAAGCGTCCTCAGGATCTGAAGAAACACGTCAAGACGCACGCCGATGATTCTGTTCTTTCTCGCCCTGGACAGGATCATCAGGGCCTCAACTACAGAGCCCAAGCGCCCAAGGGTATGTTGAGATTTGCAGTTTTCCTGCCCTTCCTTTGCGGCCTGTTGTGCAATGCTAACCTCCGGACCCAGGCCCGAGCTACTATGATCACAATGGCCAGATTCGTTCTGGAGGCTTCTCGCACCATCCAAGCCACGGCTATTATGCTCCCCAGCCCTCAACTAGCTACGGTCTCTACTTCAACCAATCTCCCATGAACACATCTCGCGCCGAGAACGTTGGCTACCACGCTTCTGCCTCTGCTGGTGGCTACGACCGCAAACGCGCGTACGACATGGTTGATGACTTCTTCGGCAATGCCAAGCGCCGCCAGATCGACCCGACATCATATACCCAGATTGGACGCTCCCTCTTGCCTCTCCATGGCTCGCTCTCTATCCCAAACGGTCCGATGACTCCTGCCGAGCAGTACATGCCTCAGCCTGCACCTACCATGGTTCACAGTGGTCCAACACCGACCCAGAACCCCCTCGCTCAGCAGTATTATCTGCCCATGCCGAATGCTCGGACACAGAAGGATCTTGTCCAGCTTGACAACCTGCTCGGACAAATGCAGGACACCATCTATGAGAACGCCAACCATGCCACAGCCGGCGTTCACATTCACAGTGGTGGCGAGGGCGGCTTTGGCGGATACCGACACAGCCAGTCTCCGACCGTCCTCCAGCGCGGATCTCCAACGGGTCTTCATGTGGCCGCCGAGGGTTATCATCCAGTCTCAGCTGCTAGTATGGCCTCGCCTCTTACTGCCATATCATCCACTGGCACACCTGCTGTCACACCGCCGTCAAGCTCCATGTCATACACCTCGGGCCACTCGCCTAGCCCTTCGGCTTCATCTGGGCTTTCTCCCCAGTCCCGCCACAGCAGCACCACAACGTCGTCTGCCATGTATCCCAGCCTGCCCACCAGTCTCCCTGCTGTGAGTCAGGGCTTTGGTTCTACCACTGCCACCCTTGGCTCCAGCTTCGACAGCAGCGAGCGTCGTCGGTACTCTGGCGGTATGCTCCAGAAAGCTCGGACGATTCCTCCTATCCGCCCTGCTGATGAAACCAATGGGCGTTATACGCCCAAGGCTGGTGACTCTGCCCTCTCCGTTGGCTCGCCATCGTCTGAGTCGGACGTCAGTGAAACCACGAGAGATCGCGAGGAGCAGTATGACCGGTGGCTGGAGAATATGCGTGTCATCGAGACCCTGCGAGAGTATGTCCGCGGCCGTCTTGAGCGAAAGGATTTCGCCAGCGAGGGTGAGACGGAAGCTCCTCAAAGGGATAGCGACGCTATGGACGTTGATGTCAAAAGCCCCCCGAGACACACCATTGGCCTTCGTGAGGGCGGCTCATCGCTGTACCCTCGCCTCCCGGTTCCCGGTTCCTAAATAGGCATCGTACATCAAGTTCCCTACTTTATGTGACACTTGGAAAGATTCATGTCCTCATTGCGTATCTTTATGTCCTGTTCACTTCTCATGTTGCCAATCTGCCCAGATGCTGCAACGGTCGTGTATATCAAGGATGACCAAATTTGTTGATGACGAATTTCCTTTATGAATTCTTGGGCTGGGGGACATGTGGACTGCTTTCTACGGCGTGTGAGGACTCGCTGACATTTGGGGTGCTAGTTAGAATCGAATGAATTTGCTCGTGTACAAGCATCATGTAATTGATTCGTGGTGCCCACACATGTGTGATTGGGAGTGATGTGACGTCGGGGTATCATGACTCCTTGGCGCAACAATAACAAGTGGGAACACGGCCGAGATGCACAGGAATCGACGACTCGTGGTCCGTGGACAAGGTCATGACGGCGACGGCTTAAACTGGCAACGATGCAATGCCGAGGGGATCTTTGTCCCTCGGGCTGTCGACCGGACCGGGCAGAGTGAATTCAATCGGTTCGGCAGGGTTGACATTTGGAATTCAGACTCCAACCAACCAACCAACCAACCCTTCCTTGGGTTGCGAACATGCCGCTCAACCCGAGTCTCTCGTAGGAGCCAGCCCAAGTCGCAACCACGCATGTGAGCCTCATGCCAAAGGCACAGTGCGCGAGCGTCTGAAATGAAATGAAAAATCTTGGCGCCCACGGTCACCGGGACGTGAATTTTCTGACACGGCACGGCTTTCGACGGCTCTCATCCTGAACGGGGCTCGGCCTGCCTGGCCACATACATGCCGATGCTGGCATATGCAAGCCCACACGAAGGGCAACCGCGTCGGAGCCTACACATGTACGGAGTACAACCAAGGCAAGACGAGGCAAGGCAAGGCAAGGCAAGGCATTTGTTTGTATTTGCGCTGAACGACGGCCCACGGCCCACGAGTAAGCTTAACAAACGGAAACGAAAACCTACAACATGCCACGCATGATTCGTCTGCGTGTCCCAGTCGTCCCGGGCTGGGCATGCAAGACACAACGACCCGAGAGTCCGAAAGACCTTTCCCCGTGCACAGCAATACAATCGGGAATAGTTCCGTTGCATCGTGGACCCTACCTTACCCACGATGCCTTGTAGTCACGCCAGGCACTTGATCTGGATCATGCAGGGTGTGGCGGGAAAAAAAGGAAAGAAAAGGAAAGAAAAAAAAAACACACTTCTCTCAAGAACAGATGCAAGCGTGGTGTGACGCCACGATGGTGAATGGCAACACAACCACGCGGTGGCGAGGCGCGAGAGGCAAGAAGAAAAAAAATTTTTTCTTCAGCACGGAAAGAACTTTTGCTACGCAGGCCAAGCCGTTGTTGCATGGGACGTCTCGGTCAACGGGTCATCACGAAGCAGAGATGCCGTACGATGCGTGATGGTGGTGTGCCCGTGAGACGTGGACGGGTGTTTGTCCCAAGGCCGGGTTTGGTGACGAGCAAACAATCAGACCGAGTCCTGGGATCCGACACCCGGGAGGAGGGAGCAGGAGGGAGCGAGCCTCGAGACGAGACCGGGAAGGGGGAAGCATAAAATGCGAGTCGTCTCGCTCGAATTTTACGGATGGACAGTTGTTGGATCGACCATCGCAGCCTCCGCCGCATCTACACCATCAACCATCAACCATCAAAACTACAAACATCTCGGTACACAGTTGTTGGATCGACCATCGCAGCCTCCGACGCATCTACACCAACCATCAAAACTACAAACATCTCGGTACGACGGCCTCAGACCGCCCAACATGCGCTGCGCTTCGATAGCTACCGGCGTCTTGTGCCTCGTCTTCGTCTCCTCGGCCGCCGCCCAGCCGCCCAGGGACTCGCCTGCCGACGCGTGCTGCTGCTGCGACATTCGCAGCAACCAGATCAGCTGCGACAGATCCGTTTCGAAGCAGGACTGTGCCTGTGCCGCCGTGGTATGCCCTGCGAATGCTCCGACCGTCTACAGGAACGGCCGGGCCCCTCCCACCTCTGCGGCCGGGGCGTTGAACGGTCCTCCCGCCCAGCGGACTCGCGCCCCCGTCCCGGAGAAGAATGGCGTGCCCGACATTGCGGGTGCCGAGTCCGGCTCCGGCTCCGGCTCCGGCTCCGGCTCCGACCAGGATGCCGTTCGTCTCCCGCCGTTTCCTGCGGTCACCGCCGAGGCGTCCCGAGCTTTTCCTCCGCCTGCCAGGGTCAAGGCTGAGGGATTCGTCACTGTCACGGTCTCCGCGACTGCTCGGGCCAAGCGGGTGCCTCTTGGCTGCGCTGCGCCGTCACCCGCCGCCGCCCGTCAGTTCCAGTGCTGCTGCTGCAATCCTGGTATCGGCAAGATGGTCTGCAAGCTCCGCGAGCAACAGGACTGCGTCTGCGCGGCCGTCGTGTGCCCGGAGGGTGCTGAGACCATCCATGTCCAGCCTCCTGCGTGCACCGACGTGTAGGGCTGGCGAGAAGTCGGGACCGAATCAAGTCTTTTTTGGCGACCAAGAGTGCTGTTGCTTCGTTGGAATGGCAGATAGAGACAGGTACAGGTTGCTTTTGTGCTTTTTTTCCGGGGGGGGGGGGGGGGGGCCCTCACTCCCTCACATGAATAATACGAGGGAAATAAT